CACACACACACAGCCACACACATTGTCATGAGCTCGTCTGAGCTCCAGTGAGCAGTGCACTTCGGACAGTTTATCAAGGATGTACCACTGGATGGCCTCTCTCTATAGTTGTTAAACGTGATATTTAATTAATCTTGTCTCTATCTAACGACTCTTCGGTCTTTTGATTCTATCAGGTAACGTGTCACAGCGTCAGTAAACTGCTTCAGTCTTTCACTTTCACACTTGTTCTTAGAAATTTTAATGAAAACCTCAGATACTGTTGGTTGTGCACCTTTTTTACCGACCAACCTCCCATGGAAAGAGTGATTGACAGGTGGAAATTTGTGAGCAACTTCTCTTTATTTATTTATGATTTGTTTATTGGTAAAACAAAGACCATGCAGGTCAGGTAGTTGAAACGGTAGGCTACAAATAATTAATTTATGAATTAATTAATTATTCATAAATAATGAATTCACCTCTGCCTATGACGACGATGCCATCGTCCATCGCGATGTTTCACATTAGACATCGTACGACGCCAAATTAGTCGACATCGCCCAACCCTAGCACTTATTCTGCACCAACACACATTTTTTAGTCATTTAAAACACTCCTGTCCCTGTCAGAGCTCCAAGTTGGCAACTTTTACATCTATCTTTTAAATATTCATCAGCGAATTAGTTATTGGTGATACTATGCTATAGCATGTAAGTGTCTGCTTTTGTATTTGGTGTTTGTTTCGTCAGCGGAGATTTAGTAATTGCTGTTAGGGAAAATCTATTCTATACTTCGTTGCATTTAAATTTTTACTTTAATTGCACCTAACCTGTAATTTACAATAGAAAATGTTTTAAAAGCATACAATTGTACTGCGAGTTATAATTACCATAGAATGTTAAGGTTCAATGATGCTGCCATCTGGCACAGATCCATAAACTTTTTTCTGTTCTGGCTGTTCTTTCCATGAAGTAATTCTGTAGAAGCACAAAACAGCCCTGTCTCCTCGTCGGTTGGTAATATTGTGTCTTATTGCACAACAATTTTAGATAAAAAACGAAAAATCACTCAGCCCATGACCTGGTAGGGGGCATTCAGGGGGCGTTCCCCTAATTGTGTTATGTCACTTGAAAACTATCAATTACAATCTTGAAACTTTAGTATGATGCTACACTTATTTTTGGATAGTTTCTCATATACTTTTTTACAGTATATCTCAAGCTCCATCAGATGAGGAGCTTTGATGCACAGCCATTTACAGATCTCCCCAGAGATGTTCAATCAGATTCAGGTCTGGACTGGGCCACTCAAGTACATTCACAGTGGTGTCCTGTAGCCACTTCTGTATCTGCAGGTGTAGTTAAGCTCCATTTTGTGTTGAAAGATGAACCTTTACATTTACGACGTACTCACAATTTGTACAGTTGCCTTGAACCAGGCCAAAGCACGCTTGTCGCCCCTCCCGTCTTCCCTGACGGCCCGCACTCACATTACATTCGGGCCTGGGCACGCTTGCGTCATCGATGATTCGCTGTTCAGTAAGCGCTCCTGCTCAGCACAGTGGAGATTTCTTTAGCTATATTGTTTTAGTGGTTTAAGATATAGTGACCCGCAGTCAGATATTTCGCCAAACAGATCAGCCACTTTTGAGGCTCATAAACAATCATAAAGTCCTCGTGCTGCAGGAATTTGGAGGTTTGCTGAAGGTGCAGCTGTCACGCAGTAAGGGGTTTGCGTCTTTAATAATCTACAACAAATTGTGTTCATTGAACAGAAAGAATGATTTATAAATCCATATGAAACAGTCCCTTAAAGTCACATCTCGTTTTTAGGCTCTGGCCAGCTTTGCACTCACACTACAAGCGTACCGCGCCAAAGCCCAAGTGAACTGTGCTCTGGGACACCTCTTCCAATCGGGCCAGGGCCGGCCAAGTGAACCGTGCCTGAGCCGGATTCAGTGCACTCACACTTCTCAAATGATCTGGGAAATGGGCCTGGGCACGGTTCGGATAGCATAGTGTGAGTAGGTCATTAGTCTTTGGTCCAGAGTGCTCTAGAACAGGATTTCATCAAGGATGTTCAGTTTCTTCCTCTGATACAACAATACAGCATGATGCTGCACCCCCATGATTCACTGGGAAGTATTGGCCAGATGATGAATGGTGCCTGCTTTCCTCTTAACAAAAAGCTCAATCTTTATTTCATCAGACCAGAGAATTTTGTTTCTCATCATCTGAAAGTCCTTCAAGTGCATTTGGGAAACTCCAGGTGGGCTGCCATTAGGGTTGTAACAATATACCGGTATGACGGTCTACCACGATTTGAACGTGCACGATTATCATACCATGAACAATTGCATATCAACGGTTTTAACCCTTAAAGACCGAGACAGCCGCCCGCGGCTAAAAATAAGTATTGCTCTTAAATGTTTAATAACTTTTGATCCGCTGATCCGATTCATACAATTCAAAGATTGGCATAAAGAAGAGAATCTCAGCTTTCCAGTGCTGTATCACATAACATTCGCGGACTTTCAGAGGCTCCGGAATCAGTGCGGTTACGTCATCAACATTTGACAACGCTGATTTGACAAAGAAACGCTCGTCACTGTGTCTCCGGACAAATCAGACATGATACATTGATGCATTGTCCCTCCTCCATGCCCAGATTGGTTTAAACTCGCTATATCACAACCAATAAGCATAGGTTTCGCTTTTGTTTGTGGACCAAGCTTTTTGAACAACACGGAATGAGAGATAGGCAATTAGGCATACATTTATGCGCGGCTAAATAAAACGCAAAAAAAAAAAGTTTTGCATGAAATAATTCTCATACTAAGTACTTTTGCATGCACAGCAGCACAGAAACATGACAAAACAGTGACACAGCAAAGACGAAGTGCTGCTCTTGCTGTTTTCAAAAGACGCAAATGAAGATGCAGCTGTTTGTCTGCATTGCAGACAACCAAATCCAAATCCATATCGATAGACAACCATATCCATGCTGGCACATAAAACCTAAGGATGTTCCATATTGAATCTAGTTTCGTTATGTAACTATTTATAGTATAGTAAATATTTATATCTATTTTTTTACTGAGGATTTGCACCATGTTTATTTGGACTTTATTTGGACTTTGACACATTATTTATTATTTTCTTATTTTTATTTGTTCATTGTAAGTGGTGTTGTTTATAGTAACTAAAAATATATTATTTGGAAAAAGTCAAATTTGCTTCACTGTTCTATTATTTTGTAACATACCGTATACCGTGAAACCGTCAAACCGTGGTATTGTTTTAGACGATTATCATACCGTGAAAAATTCATACCGTTACAACCCTAGCTGCCATATGCATTTTACTTAGGAGTGTCTTCTGGTTGCTCTTTTGGACAGTTCTATTCTCTCCACAGAGAAATGTTGGAGCTGTTACAAAGTGGCACGTAGGTGCTTGCTACCTACTTGACTAAAGCCCTTCTCCTCATTATCATATAGTTTGTCTGCCTGGCTTTCGGTGCTACAGAATTGTTCCTTTTATTGTTTGTGGAAATTCATAGGAAAGTAATGGATTCAATCCCTTAACAAATGATTTGAAAATGTTAGATAGGTAGGTAGGTAGGTAGGTGTACAATTATTTTGGAAAAGGCTGTAATATCACAAAATGTAAATCGTGCTCTGAACACTTTATCTAATCGGTATCTAATAGTAGTAATTTCTTACCTTTATAATCAGAATTGGGGGTAACCCAGTACTAAAGTGTGTCTAGTAAAATAGTCTATTTATTGTAGCTGGACTTTGATGTGTTGCCAGATTTTAGAAAAGCATATCAGCCAAAACTGTCAAATGAGCAATAACAAGGTAAGCTAACGCTATATGGTTCGTAGTATTGTAGATTAAGGCATAATATGCCAATAGGGAAAAAGCATTTGGATCATTTAGAATGTTAAGTAAAAGTCTGCTATTTTAGTGAATCCAGTCCTGAAAGAAATTATTGAAAAATGTGCACAAATTATGGAGAAAATATGCTCAAGTCTGATAATGTTCCTCAGAAATTATCTTATGCTTACACACTCCTACTAATTTATTTGTGCACATCCCATAATCTGCATTGTTTATGCTTGCCATGACATTGTAAAGGTATTGTTCACTCAAAACTGAAAATCTGTCAAGAAAATGTCATGTTTTCACCCTTAACCTGTAGCAAAGCTAACAAACTTTGAAGAAAGCTAAAAAACTTTATTCATTGACTTCTAAAGTATTTGTTTTTCCTACAATGGAAGTCAATGGTTACACTGTTTCACTTTCTTCAAAATATATTCTTTTGTTTTATCAGAGTAAAAAGACTTTCATCAGAATATTTTCATCAGATAAAAGTGGTTTCTAACTGTGTTTGATAATAGATCTGTAAATTTTCATTTCTCCCTTTTACACAGTGTCTCTGGTGTCATAAAAACATGAAAAACTGTATTTTTTGACAAGTTTTCATTTAGTATAATAATTTTGAAGAATGTGTTTTTTATATAATTTTAATATTTAAAACAAAAGATGTCATAAATCAGATCTCTGCAGGCAGCACCGGCTGTTGTCATTCTCCTTGTGCAAACAAAAATCTCACTGAATAATACAAATAATGGTAAAATGAAGGTTTGGAACTGTGGATATTTTGGTGAAAGTAACTTAATAATACTAAAGTAGTGTAACGCTTCATTTTAAAATTCTAATATAACTTATTACAATAAAATCACAGAAACTAGTGATATATATCCTATTACATCTTAAAAGTAACCTGCCCAACTTTTTATTTATTTATTATTTTTTCAAGATATCAGAATGGAAAGGCACTGGATTTTGTGTCAAAGTTTATCACAAGCAACTTTTTAAAAGCTAAAAAATTGAGAGAACATGAAATGTGAAAATGTGTCTGCAAACAAGAATATGAACCAATTATCAGGTTTTTAGCACCGTCTTTTGGCTTTATTTCCACAATAATTGTAACTCTGTCTGTTTTTGTTGTCAGTTTCGCTGTCTAACAGCAGTCTGAAGAAGAAAAGGACTCGTAGCATCTTCAGCTCGCTGTTCTGTTGTCTGAGGAGTTACGATGCTGACACTCCTGCGACCCCCAACAACAACAGCAGTCCCCTGCCTCCACCTGTGGAGGAGAACGGAGGTCCACCAAAGGTGAGACAGCGCACACATCTCCTTTACACCAGAAGAGATCCACCGTATCAGATGTGTATTGATCCACAGGCTCTATCTGAGGCTGCTCCGTCTCACTGTCATGTTTGTTTTAATAGAAGTCATCACAACTGTCTCTCTGTGCTGATTGTATCACGTCTGTGTCTCAATTATTGTCCATTTGTCTTGTGGTTCAGCACCTCATTTCTTTTGCTGTTTGTCTCATCTCTCATGTCCCAGTGTGACCAGGTTGAGGTCATCCCTGTCCCCAGTGTATGTATGACTCCACTCCACTGCCGTCTGTCTGTCTATCTATCTGTGTGCTCTTGCATGCCGCATGGAGCGTTACACTCAAACCAGCTCTGTGGACAGTGATGCACTTTGCCAGATGGATGCATGCATGCATGCTCTGTATATTATACTGCAACTGAGAAACCTAACATTTTCCCACACAATTTTGTGGTAAGGCATTTAGCTACATGAATTTGCTATGTCTACCTTTGGCCTTTGTAAACTGTGAGGATTATGACTGCTTATGCATTATAAAAATGTGTATAATTATAATTTTGTAAGTTGCAGAGCAATCCCTTTAGCCCTGAGACCACAGAGTTTAAAGGGTCAAAACAAATGGTCAGTAAGGCCACTTATTTCATTTTTTTTACCTTAATTGTTGGTATTTACTCTGGCCTGTTTTAGCATTGTGATTTATAGTTGTTAGAAATTTTAAAATGAACTTTGAGCATGAGAATCAGCAGAATATGTGGTGGAAAAACAAATGTTTGGGTTTGCCAAGCTTTTTAAATTAACATTTATTCTGCATGGATGCATTTGATAAAGACATAAGTTTAAAATTTTTGAATCAATTCTTATGAACTTTTTTCATAGAGTAAATTTATTAAATCCTGAAAATAAATATGATTTCCACAAAAAATGCAGCTCGATTGTTGTTAGTTTTCACAATAATAGGAATTTAGTACCAAATCATATTAATAGAATGATTTAAAATATGAAGTTACAGAAATCTGGAGTAATGAATTTAAAAATGCTAATTTGTAATTTAAGATAATTTAAAAAGATTTAAAACAGAATCTAGATCTTAAGATTGCAATAATATTTTAAATAATTAGTAATAAATGGAGCTTTGTAGAACATGAAACATTTCTATAAACAAACAAAAGTTTGATTGATCCCATTTTTTAGACTAGGCCCGCACAGAATCTGCGCCTGCAGAAATCCGCAGATTTCTACAGATTTTTAGCCCATGGTTGAGTCTATATAAGTACTTGTGTAAATGTGTGTAAATTTATATTTATTTAGTTTTTTAATTTATTTCAGTAATATTAATAACAAATATGAAAATGTTCATATGTTTTATTCACAATACACTTTGTAAAGTAATTTTCTGTCTTTTGACAGATATATTATATGAGAAACTTGCTTTATTTAACAATTAAGTGGATCTAATTAGATTTGCATTGTAATCATTAAATAAAAGTTAAAAAGGTATTATGTTTATTTTATATATTTTTTTGGTAATGATACTACCAAAATCATTCAACATAAATCTGCAGATTTTTTACAAAATTCTGTGCAGAAATAGCAAAACAATGGCCACTGATGTTAAGGTGTTGGCAAAAATAAATAAAAATTATTTGTTCTGAAGTTTGTAATTGATGAAGGTTGTTAATCTCATTTGCCGACTGTTTGTGCCCTTATGGAAGGGTTTGATCTCATTATCAATCTTTAAAGATTTCGCCATCAGATTTTATCAATGGTGATTCAACGTTTTGCCCTAGTGAAGTCTCTATAACATAATGTGCTGTACTATTGTTTGTGTACTGAACAGGAGCTCATGTCCAGCCGAACTGTAAGTGTCCCAGTTGTCTCTCCCTGTTCATTCATCAGTTGGGACTGAGATCATGACTGCACTCCAGCGGTTCCTCCTGAGCTTGATTCATCCCATTAAACAGACAGGGATTTAGATTAGATAGCCTCGACAGCATACTGCCTCCCTCCATAACAAGATTGCCTGTGCTCGTATTGAGACGTTGCTGGGAGGATTAGAGATCTGGATCAAGAGAGGCACCCATTCACCCGCAGCTTATAAATAAAGTGATGGGATTTCAAGCAGGCAGCCAGCGCCAAACTCACTCTCTAACCTTACCCATCCTGCATCTCTGATTAATGTGTGAAAAACCTTTTAATCCCAGAGCACGGCTGTAATCCTTTCCACTTCCGCTCGGAAAAGCTGGGATATTACTGCATGAGCGTCATTGGTGCGCCTCAGGAAACACACTTCCTAAAATCCCCAAAGTTTCTTCTACAATTTCCAGAGGAAATGTTTGGGAATCTTGCTGCTTTCCCTAATTTTTCTGCACATTTCGCTTGATAATGGTCTAACACATCACAGCTCAAGCCCAAATTATACTTCTGCATTTATGTGTACATTGGGAGAGATGCACTTTTTAGTATGCACATACTGTTAACATGGAGAGCAATTGTTATTCTTTTTTTTCCCCCTTCTTAACCTCACAAACATGTACATGCATATAAAACCACACCAGAAGTCAAGAAAAATTGGTATCCATTGTAAAGGGAATTAAAAGATGCACTTGACTGAAAACCAAAAATAATGTAATTTATATAAGTATTGAAATTAAAACAACAACACTTTTACTAAGCATCACAACAAATTGGTCAGTGGCGTTTTAAGCTTTTTAAAAATCTGTTCATTTTTGGTTTGATTTTTCAATACGTTTTTTAAGAAACAATCATCTGAAATCTTTATTAGAGGTAAAGACGGTATAAATATTTTATTTAGTTTTTTTACGCTTTACTTTAGGAAAGAAAAAGCACAGACATTCAACGAGTGTGAAACCTTTAAGTTTGCATGTGTCGAGTGCCAGTGTTCATGCACACTTTTACATTGAGCGAACTTAGAAAGCTGTGCGCTCAAACTTTTACGCATAATAGCAAAGTATACTGTGGGCTTTAACCTCCTCTACACTTGCTCTGTTCATAACATTAACTGTGTGTGTTTTGCGTTTCCACAGCCTCCAGAGAAGTACCTCCTCCCTGAGGTTAACATTAATGACTATGGGAAGAAGTGTGTGGTAATAGACTTGGATGAGACGCTGGTGCACAGCTCGTTTAAGGTAATTCATTCATTAGTTCCTGGGCCGATTCTCATTAAGTATTTCCCAAGCAAAAACATCCAGGAATAGGTCACAGAAACGTGTGCGTGTGCGCGTGTGTGTGTGTTGCTCAGTGCTTATGACCCACATTGACCTATTTGCGTCAGAGATGTATATGAATGTGGCCAGAGCTTCCTGTGATGCGTAATGACGGCCCAGTCGAGGCTCATTTGTCAAATAGAAATGTAGCACTCATGATTTTCATTTTTCATGCATGTTTTTTTTTTTTTTTTTAATGAGAATCAACCGTTTTATACATTACATACTATTGATGTCGCAATTACTGTGGTAAGCCATGGTAGATTTCAAGTTAAATCACAGTAAAAAAAATTTGACTTTTAGTATTATTGTTTAAATTTTTCATTATTATTAAAAGCGGGAGTATGTACATTTTTATTATTTGCACTAAATCCTGTAACATTGCAATTGTCATATTAGTATTAGCTTACTAATCTTAGCTAATACTGCTGTATTAGTTTCATCTAAATTCTAAGCTGCACATTATAGAAAACACAAAGTTGAAGTTTTTAGTTTAAAGTGCAATTAAAAGGCTTAACCAGGTTAATTTAGATTAAATTTGAGTTTATTTATTTAACAGGGGCATGCAAAAAATTACATTAACCTTGAAAAGGAAAGATGTTTGCTATTGTCCACCTGCAGTCCACGGACAGGTAAATCTTAACAAGGCAAGTTAGTTTAATTAGGCAGCTCATTGAACTACAGTGGTTTGTTTTGTAACCAGTCGATTAAAAAAAGTTGACTGATTATATTGACCTTTTTTATCTGCTTTAATTCCAGCCAAACTAAAGGAAACTTAAATTAAGAAATAAATAAATTAGACAATACTGTGGAAAATTCCCTTGCTTTATAAACATCCTGTTGAAAAATACAAAAAATGTCATAGAAGGGCTAATAACTAAACGTCATCTGCATTTCAAGTTAATTTTCCTACAGCTTGTGGTATGTGTGTTCTGAAATCTTGAAGGATTTTTCTAAACAAATCATTAAGATTTATTTTGGAAGTGCAGTCCTGTTTCACATGTACATGCAATGTACTTATCTTAGTCATTACATAAACTTAAGGACCATAACCCATGTAGTTACCTTATATATGCTTCAAACAGTGTAGAAGTACACGTACTATAAAAATTATTGGAACTAATCTTTGTATTGATTATTTTTGTATCGTTTTAATATGGTGTTTGCTTATTAACCTAAATTAGCATATCAGAGTCAACATTTGAAATGGATCCAAACCTATTGAACACGACATTTTAACAAACTTTTTTTAATCAACTTCAAATGTTGACTATAGATTTTTATTTATTTATTTATTAATTTTTTTTATATACAAGTCATGTTATAACATGAGAATCAAATTATTTTTATTTTCATTTTTTTTTTTTTTTGTGAATCTTAGTATTGCTAAAAAACTTTCATAGTAAATTTAAGCATTTGGGGACCAAGTTGCTTGTGTTATAAGTTTTTTATACTTTGTGAAGTTTCCAACATTTTTTCTCAATTTCAAAATATATATACAAGACATTTTCTTAACATGTTACACTTAATTCACAGTTTTGTACAAACTCTATATACCACCAGTATCACACAAGATGAGCCCCTACTATTACTTCATTTGTTGATAACTAGCATGAATCTGAGCTGTCAGCTCTCAAATCTCTCTCTCACTGAGTGATATTTGAGTTGGAAGGCTTGCGTTGGAAGAGCATGGATGCCCTCTGCTGTTGGAAGTTTCTGCAGTTACTTTGTCTATATGTAAATCATAAGCAAATGGAGCTTATCACACATCAGTAAGCTCAGATTGTGGTCATGTTTTTATCAGCTGCTAGTTTATTGCTGTTTGAGATAGTGGAAGCTATTAGTAATTTCACAATGATAATATAAAAGCAATTAAAAAAACCATGGTGAACTTTTGTCATTAACATTTTATTTAAATTTCAGATATAAATATTATTGGAGCATTTATTTATTTATTTATTGAATTAGTCAGAATTACAAAAGCTTAGATTTTTTTTTCTCAATGAAAATTAGGCTTATTTCACCAAAACTCTTGTAATGTAAAAATATATTTTATAAAATGTTATTTTATACAATGTTATTTTACACAAGAATAACAATGTCTTGCCTGAAATATAAAACATAAAATACATTGAATTATTATTATTATTATTGTTCATTTGTTTTCTTTTCGGCTTAGTCCCTTTATAATCGTCGTCATCATCATTATTATTATTACTATTATTAGAACATATTCACACTAAAAATTCTACACACAATACCCCAAGATTTGTTTTTAATTCTTGCAAATTTATTTAAAAGAAAAAAGCTAAAAAAGCTTAAAGAAAAATCACAGCCTTTGCTCAATACCTTGTTCATACACCTTTGGCAGCAATTATAGCCTCAAGATTTTTTTTATGTGATGCCACAAGTTTGACACACCTGTTTTTGAGAATTTTTGGCCATTCCTCTTTGCAGTACCTTTCAAACTCTTATTAGGGAGGATGGGAAGCAATGGTGTACAGCCATTTTCAGATCTCTCCAGAGATGTTCAATAGGATTTAGGTCTGCGTTCTGGCTGGGCGACTCAAGGATGATCACAGAGTTGTTGTGAAGCCACTCCATTGATATTTTGGCGGTGTGCTTTAGGTCATTTTCCTGCTGGGAGATGAACTGTCGCCTCAGTCTGAGATCAAGGGCACTCTGAAGCAGGTTTTCATTCAGGATGTCTCTGTACATTGCTGCATTCATCTTTCCCTTTATCCTGACTCGTCTTCCAGTTCCTGCTGCTGAAAAACATCCCCACAGCATGATGCTGCAACCACCATGTTTCACTGTAGGGATGGTGTTAGCCTGGTGATGGCCGGTGCCTTGTTTTGTCCAAACATAACGCAACAAAGTTCAATTTTAGGCTCATCAGACCAGATAATTTAGTTTCTGATGGTCTTGGAGTCCTTCAGATGCCTTTTGGCAAATTTCAGGCGGGGAATCGCTTCTGTCTAGCCACTCTACCATATAGGCCTGATTGGTGGATTGCTGCACAGATGGTTGTTCTTCTGTAAGGTTCTCCTCTCTCCACAGAAGAATGCTGGAGCTTAGACAAAGTGACCATCAGGTTATTAGATCACCTCCCTGACTAAGGCCCTTCTCCCCTGATCTCTAGGAAGAGTCCTGGTGGTTCCAAACATCTTTCACTTACGGATGACTGAGGCCACTGTGCTCATTGGAACTTTCCGAACAGCAGACATTTTTCTGTAACCTTCCACAGTCTTGTGCCCCAAGACAATCCTGTCTACAGACAATTCCTTTGTGTTCATGCTTGGTTTGTGCTTTGACATGCACTCTCAACCCTGGAACCTTGTATAGACAGGAATATAGAATAAACCATTTGAAATCATGTCCAATCAGATGAATTTACCACAGGTAAACTCAAATTCAGCTGCTGAAACATCTCAAGAATGACCAGTGGAAACAATGTACCTGCATGACACAATTTAGAGCTTCACAGCAAAGGCTGTGAATACTTATTGACATGCGATTTTTTTATTTTTTATTTTTTTATTTATTTATTAATTTTTAATGTTTTTCATTTTTAATACATTTACAACAATTTCAAAAAATATTTTCACATTGTCATTATGGAGTAATGTGTTTAGAATTCTGAGGAAATAAATGAATAAAATCCTTTTTGAAATAAGGCTGTGATATAAAGAAATGTGAAAAAAGCGATATGAATTCTTTTCGGATTGTCACTGTACACGTTTAAAATGCACATATACATGTGGGATGATATTAAGTGAAGTTAAGAAACATTACCAGCAGATTATTACTTTCTTTATTTTAAAATATTTTGAATATTTATTTTCATATGCATTTTATTAGAAGGTTGTTCAGAAAGCATTTAAAGCTCAGATTGGGATTGCTTCGGGTCACTTGCACTCCATTGATCTCCTATCTGACTCTGGGTCATAACTGTGTGTTGTTTGTTCCTCTCTTACAGCCCATTAGCAACGCTGATTTCATCGTCCCAGTGGAGATTGACGGCACAGTGCATCAGGTACAGTACTGATGGAAGCAGGTTTCACATTACACTGACATCAGACTGCTGAAGACCTCAGGCTCAATGCTCCAGTGTGTCGAGCAGCAGATTTGAAGCATTTTCTGGGTTTGATGTCAGTGTGGACTTGAGTGCTGGAAGTGGTTGTTCCCTTGTTCAAGTAATCCAGGATAGGCTGTCTGTCCTGGAGGCCTATTCATGATTACTTGCACTAGGTGGCAGCCGTTGCCCTTCATGGAACTCATGCAAATCATCTAGCTTGATTTGTTTCTGTGTTCATTCATTTTGAACATCAAGGACAATTCTATGTGCTTTGCTGTTATATAGTACTGTTTATATTGTGTTCTGTTATTATGAAAGTTTTTTAGTGTTATTTTAGATATTTTATAGGAAGATACTGTTTTGTTTTATAGGATTTAAAATATATTTTACATGTATACATTCTGTTAAATGAATGTTTTGTTTTATTAAATGAAAAAAAATATATATATATATATAAAATAAAATTTTACAACAATGTTTTTATCTTTTTATTGTTTAAAATATTTTTATTATATCTTTGTTAAATATTATTATTTTATATTACATTATTTTGACATTATTGTGCTTTTTTATTGTGCTATTGATGATGATTATCATCATCATCATCATCATCATCATCATCACTATTAATATTAAAAAAATGTCATTTAAATAGGTCTTTTAATCTCTATTTGATGTGATTTTAGGTATTTCATAATTATTTTAGTATTACAACATCTAATAATTTAATATTTCAATTTTATATTGATTTATATTTTTTTGTGTCATTATTGACCTAAATGGGCTTTATTTCAATATTATATGTTTATAAAGAATTTAGCATTTATAATCGTTTATGTTATGAACATTTCTTTCATTCCTTGAGTTAATGTGTATCAAATATTTTGTTTTTATATTCTTTATTCCATTTAGCATTTGTTAGTGGTACTATGTTCTATCATAAATGGACTTCAATGGCTCTGTGTATCACCATATCTCCCTCTGGCAGGTTTATGTGCTGAAAAGACCTCATGTGGACGAGTTCCTGCAGAAAATGGGCGAGCTGTTTGAATGTGTGCTTTTCACAGCCAGTCTAGCCAAGGTTTGTTCACTTCACCACAACACTGACCCATTACCGGTCAGTGTCTCGCAACTCAGCACAAAACCTCACTGGCTGAAAGGATCTAAGTGTAATTTAAGATAGACAATACAGTGATGTACCTGCCAGGGCAGTTGGGTGGGTATTGATTCATACCTGCTCTGCTAATATCTGACCCCCCTCTCTGTCTCTGTGTGGCCTGCGTTTGTTTTAGCCGCTAATGCATGGGTAAGTGTCTCTATGCCAACTGTGACTCTTCCTGAATGCGTGCCGTCATGTAGCAGTAGTTGCAGACGCTGCTGCCTTCACCTTTGACAGCTCACATTGTTTGAGTTTGGCCGCTTTTTTTTTTTTTTATGATACGCAGTGAAGTTTCATTTGTCGCTCTAGCTGATGTTTGAGATGTGTTTTGCTCTTCTCATAGCTGTTAGTGACACATTAGCTGTTGAGAATGTATGCGGCCCACTGTAGTTTAGAACACTTGTCTTGGTTGCTTCAATGTCTGTGATGTAGAGGACATAAAGACTCATTCACGTCAACAGCAAGCTTTCTTAAGGCCCTCATATACTTTAAGCGAAAATGAAAAACGAAGTGCTGTAATGAACAAAACCGTGCTCAAATGAAGTTGATTTACTTTGGCAGGTAAACACCATTGGTCGTTCATAAATGGAGGCATCTCTGATGCTGTGCACACTTTGACTTGGACATTTTCTATAGTTAATTTTCTCTGTTTAGTCTTTAAGGTCAGATGTGTTACAGAGGAAAAATGAGTGATAGAACCACAAATTAAAAAATGACTGATTTACAGAATGCATTATGTGCTCACTTTAGGTAGTTTTAGATGAAAAATAGTAATTGTGAATGCTGCGACCTGGAAACGCATGTGCATTTGAGTAAAACTGGATATAACTAAAGGCTGATATAAACTTCTGTCCATGCGTATGGTCCCGCACAGCCTTCGTGCGGTCGCATAGCACTCGCCGTAGCTGACACTAACGTGCACCTCTTAAAAAAATTTAACTATACGTCACAACGACGCATAGCACAAGCTCTGTGATTGGTCAGCTTGGTAGTTGTGTTGCGAGTGTGGGTGGTGCTGAGAGCTGCGAGCCTGATGGAGCGAGTATTTACAAATGTCGAGTCTTGTGAAGCAGCTCCACATGGAAACATTTGTTTTGTGTTTACCTTATAATTACCCAACTAAATTTGTTTCATGTCCGCCGGTTCCCGCCTCTGAATGAGCAAGTTTTAGCTTCTTGTACATTAAGGTATCGTTCAGAAAAAAGAAAACACCAGCAAAGAAACTCGATACAGAGGAACATAACCTACTGCCAGCTAGCGGAAGTCTTATTGCAGAGCAGGACAAACAGCACGCAGAAGAATAAATGCATGGCTATGTGCAAGGCATGCACCTTGGGTCACAGTGATTGCTCGACGCAGAAGTATAAACCAGGCTTAACAGTACACACATGATCAGCTGTTTTTGCTGATGCAGCCTTTCTTGATTACTGTTTGTTACTAGGTTACCAATACTACAGTCAGCCACTCTAACAACTTGGTGGAAACGTCTAATTCACAGTTGGAATTTTTATTTATTTATTTTTTTTGAGAACTTTCAAAAAAAATTTGCTTGATGTTAGAATGAAAACCCGACTATTGGCAGTTTACTTTATAAATGCTATGTAAATAAATGGGATTTGAACGGACAGTCATTTTGTAGAGCAAATTTAAATGGTTGATGACATTTAAAGATTTAATTTTAATAAAAACAACAACAGATATTTAAAAATGAACGCTTGCATGTGTTATTATCTTCACACATGCATTTGTCAGCTCATCACATCTCTGTTTCTTTTCCAAGCATAAAACAAATAACAGCTTGTTTTGGTACTGTCATCTAAAAAACAAACTAAATAGTCCAAAATTTATTCAAATCAAGGGGGCAAACTGTTCATACATCAGTTACAAATACTGAACTGTGTTCATACAGTAAACAAGTTTAACAACAGCTTCTTAAATTATACTTAAATCACTTATGAGGTACTGATTTAAAGTGTAACCTATTGATTTCTTAACATACGTAAGCAGGTTTCCAGTCATCTACTTGCCACAGCGCTGATTTCATATGGTTATCACAAAAATCTCAGTAAATTCCATTTTATATTTCAGTATGCTGTTGTTCTGAAATGGAATATTTTTTGCGTGTCATTCCCTTGAAGCAAACGATTGGGAAGAAAAGTGTAATTAAGAATATTGTGGGTGAAGCAGCCAAACTGTGGCATCATTAGAGAAAGATTACCACTCCCAATGCAGAAGCAAATGGTCAGACTAGATTACCAACCCCAAAAAATTTATTAATTGTTCACCTAAAGAATGACAGTGCTCAAGTGTAATAAACACTGTAATGTTTGATTTAACTCAAACTTTAAGTACACATTAAGTGGCTGTGTGTTATCCAACTCATTAATTATCAGATGCTTTCTTAATTGGTGTTTTCTCACTCACCTATTAACATAAAACGCTGCCTCAAATCATATACAGTACACTAAAAACAAAACACTTTTTTGCTATGAGTATATTGGGGCCTTTATTGAGAGGCACGTATTTGAATATGGTTTTGTAGGTTTCCTTGAAGTCCTCTTTGTAGATGTTTCTTTTGCATAGAGATGGAAATAGTGTTACGTTGGCCTAGCAGCTTGCTTTTTCTCTGTTTTATATCTGTAATTGTTGCAGGGAACAGCTGGATGATTCTACTGTTTAATCGATGCATGAGCAGACTGAAAGTTCTTCTTTGACTTGTCTCTGAGTCTGAATGTGTCTGTTCTGTGTGTGTCTCAGTATGCCGACCCAGTGGCTGACCTGCTGGACCAGTGGGGTGTGTTTCGGGCGCGACTCTTCCGGGAGTCCTGCGTTTTCCACAGAGGGAACTATGTCAAAGACCTGAGTCGGCTTGGGAGAGAGCTCAGGAACGTCATCATTGTGGACAACTCCCCCGCTTCCTACATTTTTCATCCTGAAAATGCTGTAAGTTTTGATTTGCTGTTAAAACTAAACCAGAGTTCAGTTTCTTGTGCGTAAACTTTCTAATTCTGTAGAAGGACAGAAGGCTCTCAGATATTATGTATTTCCTTTACTCCAATATTTCTTTCTCAAAAACACCAAAATAATCGTTATTGAACCTTAATAATTAAATTAGTGTTATTAAGTCCCATTCCAATTTTTTTGTTTTTCATTTTCTTCATTTGGCAATTTTAGCAGCAATTAACACTGTGGTCTAAACCGGTGCAACAAGATTCTGACAACAATTATTGTCTCACAGCGATTGTCACCTTTAAAGTGAAAATGGCACATAGCATGATGGCTACAGCATTACGAGCGTACTTGACAGCCAGATAAGGGCTGTCCTGGAAAGTCAACAGTTTTATTAGTCTTATGGGCCTCATTGGTGGTCATTCTGTGCAATGTCGCCTTCTGGTGTTGAATATGATTGATTGAAACAAATTGCAAATAAGAGTTCGGTGTTTCATTATGGCACTGGAATATTATTTCATGTTACTGCAAGCAGATAGTTCAGTTTTAAAAATGATTGTTATCAATACTCATATGTTTTATTAGCCCTGTTTATGTGCGAGAGAATTTTTTAAAATGTCAGGTTGCAGGAATATCAGATATACCAAGTCCCAAACAACCTAATTATGATCATATTATTTGATCTATTATGGGTGATGGGTGCAATGTTGATCAACATCTCCCAAAATACATGAAGTATAAAGAAGTATAACTAGAGTGGCGCTAAAGCAAAGAATTAAACACAACCAACAGCCACATAAACTAGAACACAAGATCCCCTCTAAACGTACTAAAGAAAATAAAATGTGAAAAAGAAACGGAAATCTTACTTACCTAACGTTTATGAACACTTTAAATAACTACAGGCAAAATGTATGTTGCGCGACCTGTTAAGCTATTCCATTTTCCTCAAAAAGGAATGATCAACTTTTAAACCATATTGGATTTACAGATTTTTGAATTAGTTCAGAGACAAAAAGGATCAAATCATAATACACAAAATAACAGAAGCAAGCGTACACAACACAAACCCACACAGCACTGAACAACAAGGCATGCCGGTCAAATTTAAAATCTGTGGAACAAAGCCTGATTGATCCTTGAGGAAACGCCTTAATGAGGAGTGACAGGCTTGGGATTCAATCAGCAAAACCTGAGAAGGAAAAAAAAAGTGGAAAAAAAGATGCTATGGTGAGAGCAAGAGCGAATGACAAAAAACATGAGAGGGAGATAGAGCGACAGAGAGGGAGAAAGAGGGAGAAAAAACTCCCATGGACCGTATCACCTCCTTATCTTCATTTTGGAAGAATCCCCCCATCCTTCTAGTCCCCGCCCCAGGGCTTAGGTACCTCCGAGTTCAGGTTTCTCTCCTAGGACAGCATGCCAGACCTGCAACTAGTATCAAGCAGTAACTAAATGTGTACTCTTAAAAGTGTCATTTATGACGGCATGAGCAACCACTGGAAAGCAGATTTGAATTTAGCAGCTGATCATGTGATGCACTGAATGTTTTGATCACACCAGTGTGATTGTACACGTCACAATATAGTCTTATTTATCAGAGTAAGGTAAATAATAATTAAATTGCTGATGTCAATGTTAACACACTCAGTGTCAGATAATAACTGTGTGTGTCTGTGTCGTGAAGGTTCCAGTGCAGTCGTGGTTTGACGACATGACTGACACGGAGCTGCTGGACCTGCTGCCTTTCTTTGAGGGACTGAGCAAAGAGGAGGACGTGTACGGGGTGCTGCAGAACCTGAGGGGCAGGTAGCAGACCAAACGGCCTGCAGCAGGACACGCACACCAGGACTCTTGACATAACAGACACTCAAAATACTGCTCTTTTGAAAAGTGCTTATGATAAACCAAAAAACAACAACAACAAATCAACTTTTTCTTTCCCTTTTTTGACAATATTCAAGTCATAACCATTCTCTGAGGTGTTGCTATGCAGGTAGAAATCTGTAGAGTTAAAGGACTGTGGGGTTTCCTCTCCGACCCAACAAAGTGCCTTTTTTGAATGTCATTTTTATGGGGGAAATTAACATTTTGTACACGACATATTTCCAGAGAAACCTAATCTTTACAAGAAATATATGCTTTAAAAACGGAGGCAGGTCGGTCTCTTTTTCGAAAAGCACTGTTATAAAGAGGCCAGAGATTTTTATGTAAAGCTGGATACACGTCTCCATCTTTCTTCTTCTTCTTGTGCTCCTTTTATTTTTCAAGTTTGCTTTAGCTTGTGCCATTATATAGACTGATATTATTATCTAGACTTGTATATGTTTTAGTTTGTTGTTTTTTTTTAAGAGCAAAGGAATGCATTTGCACTTGTTAGGTTGCTCGTCTCACAAACCTTGGCCTCTTTTTGCCAACTAACCGATCTTAAACCCAAAATGATATGTGCCAATCGCAAATATAAACCGTTTCAGCAAACAGGGCCGACGCTAATTCTGGTGCTTGAGACAAATTGGACATTTCAAACAAACCTGAAAATTGAGCCCAAAAACTAGTTTTTCTTGATCCGAATGCCTTGGATAAGTAGTGTAGACACTGCAGCTGTTGTATTTTAAGGGGAAGTGTACTTTGCAGATGCGCAATTGCAAATGTATCCCTTTTTGTTTTTAATTCTTTTGTTTGAGTCGTTGAGATTTGGTCCATATTTTAAAATCGTTCATAAACCATACCCTGCTGCTGCTACCACTGTAAACTACACTACAGAAACCTCCCTGTAGGTACAACCAGTACCAGCCCAGGGACGAGCGCTGGGCAGCCTGTGCCCAAGCCCCGACTGAGCCTTACAAGGCCCTCCTGAAGTGTTGCCGTTTTGAAAGCGTTGGGCTCAGGCTGCGCAGGCTCTCCATCACCGCAGTGCCTAATAAACCGAGAGGAGCGGCGGAGGTGGATCCGCTGGCAAACAGGCAATAACCCTCTTCTCCTCTACCCAGAGTCCGCCACGTCAGTTCGGTCACTACTTTATTTGTCTCCTCCGTCTTTTTCGTCGTCTACCTCTGTCCATTTCTCTTCATGCTGTTGTGCGGCAGGCGACGGAGAGCCGTTCGTTCTCACGCCTGTGGTCTTCTGTCAGTATTCAAAGTGTATGCTTGTGTTTTTTCCCCACACCTGCTGTTTTATTTGTGTGTGTGTGTGTGTGTTGACGTGCTGTACAGCCTTCTCTTATTGTCAAGTTGATCATGTTTTGATTTTTAAGCATTTATTTTTAATAAACACAATCGTTTTTTTATTAAAGGAAGAGTTCACCTGAACTTTTTCTCACCCTCTGCTTATTTCTGTTAAACACAAAAGAAGATATTTTGAAGAATGTTTCCTTTGACTATCATTGTATGTAATTTGTTTCACTATTAAAGTCACTTGGTCAACATTCTTCAAAATATCTTCATTTGTGTTCAACTGAAGAAAAGAATCTCTAATGGTTTATTACTAGTTGTTGCGAGTGGAAGGAGAGAACATGTTCGGTTTTGGCTGAGCTTTTGCTTTTAAGAACACAATCAACTCCACACTATTGTTTTTTTTTCTGCTCACTGTTCATCTTGTTAAATTTGTTCTCAATTTTTTTCTTCACTTCTAACAAGTGTCAGGTGCTGTTTTTAATACACATTGGTTTTGGTGAATTCACGTCAGTGTTTTAAGACGGCACGTCCAGTTAATTGATGCCTTGTTTTGTTTTTGTTCATGAAGCCATACAGACACGAGTTACTCTGGGTTTGGATCAGTTTGGAGAGGCTGTACAGTGCTTATGTTTGGACTAGATTTCAAGATGAATTGATTCATGGATGTCGCAAGTTTTCTTCCGGACTCTGACATGTTCTATTAAAGCACCTTTTTAAAAAACAGCACAGTGACATTTTCTTTTTTGTTACTTGTTTTGTATATGTCTATTCATATTTATAAAGTAACCCTAAATGGATTGATTAGGGTCGGAATTGAATGGGGGTTTGTAGAAAACGTGTCTCAAACCAACAGAAATTACCAATTCAGAATAAAAGGGCCAAATAAATCATTGTTAGGAAGGTGTATAAAAATGTGAAATTCTACATTTGCAAGGAAAGATGATTCAAATTTATTAATGTTCATTACAAATAGTCTGTGGAAACAATGGGTTTAAAAATGAACTAATTCCTAATATTTAAGTAGGGCTGGGCGATCCTTTCGATTAATTAGAATTTACGTTTTAAGACGATTGAATTTTTTTGTAAAAATATTAGATGCATTATAATTGCATCAATGTGCTTTGAGCCACTCTCTGTATTACACTGCCTGACTGGGTTTCAATCACGGTATTAACAGACTAAACACAGACTGTTAATACCTTTTGTTTGACGTGCTTCGGTGCACTCTCTCTCATGCTACTCCACCACTGCCTGATGAGGAGATTCAGGCACACCGTATGAACTATCAAAGATGCAATCTGTGAAAATCGCTGATCAGTCGCCAATGCTTGTGAGATATTTGGCGTGCTAAATTTCTGGAGCTGTCGGCGATTCAAATCATGTCGTGTGAAATGAGTTTTGACTGAAAATAACATCAGCGATAGCCTACGGCCAATGAGAGAGCAGCATTCACTTGCTTGTGTGTGTACCTGCAGGCCAGCGGAAGACTGAGGAAGAAGTTAAAAGTGCTCATTCTCGGTTTATTTGGATCCCAGAAATGGGGGAAAAACTAGTGGAGGTTTGACGTTTCATACAGAAAGTTAAAAAAGGAATTTGAGACTCCCTTCAAACCCAGGTGAGCAAATATGTATATTTTCTACCCCATTAAAGATTTCTTTCTCGTTATGTCGCTAGCCTAATAACAAAAGATATACTAACGTTACGTGTTTTTGGCTGTGAGACGTAGTTTGGACAAAGTCGTCGGCGATTCTTCCTATTGTAAAGTCATGCAGTGTGAAAATCCATGTCACCAATCCATCTTGCAGTGTAAACAAATTTGCGACAAAACGCTAGCCCAGATAAGTTAGTCATGCAGTGTGAAAACATCTGTGACATGACTACTTTGTCACATCTGTGTGGATTATGTAGGACATATCTCCTTATCAAGTCAATAAACTCAATCTCTCAACATGTATGAAAGATGTAAAAACCTGACATGTAAAAAAAAAAAAACAGGTTCGATTTCAAGTTTGGTTTGAATACGAGCCGAGGAGAGCAGCTGTAGTAGAGAGAAAAGTGAAAGAACCTGCCCCCATTACGTCATTAACAGACCTAGTTGAAAGCGCAGGCAGCGTAATACAGAGAGTGCTGCAAAGCGCATCAAATGATCTGTATTTAAAAGGGTGGTAAATAGAATAAATATATAATTTTTTTTTTAGACACACACCTGGTGCTTGTATTTGCTCTTGCTATATGTTTACAACTTCATGCATTGGGTTACATTAGGCTTTACAGTTTCTGTGTTCAGTCCTTTACTTCCACTGTATCTTTTTTAAAAAAGGCAGCAGCTTTATAACTTGTCATTCAATCAGAAGACGACTTAAGTCAAAGCCGAGCTGACAGCCTATTTGATGTCTCCTGATGTACAGGTATTTATTGTTTAATTGAAATTGCACAATATTTACTTTGGTATTTTATTCAAATCTTCTGCAACGATATTTAACTCGTGAATTAGTTTTACATGTTCCTAAACCAGATGTTTTTTCAAGTTATTTATTAAGAGAATGTTACTTCAGTCATGTTGTTGTAAAGTTGACTAGTCACATACACACACACAAAAATAATAATAATTGTGAATCGGTCAAACTTTATATATATATTTTTTTTCTTTTATGGCCATATCGCCCTATATCCAATAGATTTGTGCTTGGCTCAATAAAATATTTTGTGTGTGTGAAAAAGTTTATAATAATCCAAAGAACATTGCGAGTGATGAAGATACCATCACTAAAGGCACAATGTAAGATGATCTTTTCATTAAAATACCCCAAAACCAATATAACGGTTAAATATTTAGCTGACTTACTTGCATATTTTATCAGAAGTTTTTAGAGGAACTTTTAAATACACAGAAAATCCTCCTGTGTGGCCAAGCTGATGCTGCCATACGACCTTTATTTTGGTTTAGTTTTACAGAAAACAGGGAAACACCAAATCTGCTTGATCCTGATGATCCTGCACAGTAATAGAACATTCAAGTGTATTAAGTGTGCTAAAACAGCTGCTGTTTCCTCATGATCATGACTAGTAGTGGACTTTAGCACAGTAAAAGCTCAGCTGTCAGCGCTCTTGTTTTGCTTTGACAGTGGACTGTTTCATACTACCATGATAAGGTCCGAACACTTAAGTTAGAGCCCCAACTCAATCCTGAAGGGCCAGTGTCCTGACTCCTGCATATTCAACTACACGTTTGTTTATTGTGAATACACACCCTCTAGTGTCAAATGACATACTGAGCGTTTAATACGCTCTAAACCAACCCTGTTCCTGGAGGAACACCAACATATTTTGGACGTCTTCCTTATCTGAGCCATTAGCTTCAGGTTTTGGAGTCTCATTATGTTCTGATGAGTTGATTCAGGCGTGTTTTATTAGGTTAGAAGAGGTTAAAAATGTGTACTGTTGGGAAACACTGCTGTAAACAGTGTGTAGCCTTCAATATTTCATGTAGAAGTACTTCAAAAATGTCACCACCAGAGTTGGGTGTAACGCGTTTCACAGTAACACGACTGCAGGCTAATCTAGATACATTTTTGAGGAACGCAGTAATGTAACGAATTACATTAGTAACTAATCAAATTACATGCATAAAGTCATTGTTATTGCCTTAGTACTTACGTTACAAATAGAATATTTAGCTGAAGAAAAATGCTTTTAAATCACGTTTTCCGCTGCAACGTCAGTTAATGAGCATTCGCTTTTATATTGCCGGAGAATGCAAGCTGAAATGGTTGCTGTCGAGAGCGGCTTCTTCAAATGGAAATACAGACATTACTTTGACCCAGCGTAAAAACAAAAATATTGTTGTGAAAGTCAGTCTATGTCCAGTCTCTAAACAACTTTCGACTGCTTTCACTCGACCAGCAACTTGTTCAAGCATTTGAACAGAAAGCATTCAATACACGTCACCACTGGCGCTCAAAATCACAGCGGCTAAACAGGCTAAATTGGATTTTTGTGCAGGATTGAGAGTGAAGATATCTTCTGAATGTGGAAAGAAGCGTAGCTGCTCAAGCTGTTCACATATCGTCCATACGGTCCATACACATCACATATTGCACGCGATCGCATTTCCCAGGCGCGCGAATACCGCGTGTCACGTGTCAAGAACTGACCGATCAGCTTCATGCTTTGGAATATACACTTCAGACAAACACAGAACAATAATCACTGCAGTGCCTTGTTATACTATGGATGTCTGTGGTTACAGGTATCCAGTTTTCTTTATGTCCTTTTGTCATGTTCAAAAAAAAAAAAAAAAAACGGGTTTGGAACGAATGATGAGAGAAATTTAAGTTCTGGGCTGCTGTGATCAACCCATTGTGATGTTTTGAGTTAATATTAAATTACTGAAAGAGCTGCAGTTTATGTTGTATTTTATAGGTATATTTTGTTTTAAAAGTAACTTTAAAGTAATTTGTAATCGAATTACTTTTTACATTAAGTATTCAGTAATGTAATCAGATTACAATATTCCAGTAGTAATCAGTCATTTGTAATGTATTACTTTTTTTAAAGTAACTTAGCCAACACTGGTCACAATATAAAATGCTGTTTAACCAGGACTTTAAGTTCCATGATCTACTAAATCTAGTGACAGCCAAACTTTTTCTTTTTCAGAAGTGATTCTCTTTAAATAAATGGTCAGCATCTTCTATTCTTAAAGTCTGTGATCTTCATAATGTGGTTCCTCAGTTTTGAACGCTTAATATCTACACTAGACCAGCTTGCATACATACTTTCCCCCTTTCAGATGTCTCTAATGGATACCTTCATTCACCATCAGATTTGCACCAGAGACTTGAAGTAGCCATGGACTCACGAAAAAAGAAAACTCTGTCATGATTTATTCATCCTCTACTTGTTCCAAACCTTCTTTGTTCTGTTGAACACAAAGATGTTGTGAAGAATGTGGAGGAAAAAACAGCGATTAACTTCCATAATATTTCTGTTCCTGTTATGAATATCAATGGTGGCGTTTTGTTCCAGTATTCTTCAGTATATATTCCTTTGTGTTCAACAGATTATAGATGGTCATTAGCATTTAGTACCATTAGAGAGGACATTTACATATTTTGGTTAAAACTATCCCTTTAAGAATGATTAAAGAAAAAAAGAAGTGGAGTGGAGACTTTGGGGAAAAATGAACATTTCCCACTCATTTTCTCTGGATGAAGCTGAAAACACATTTTGAATAATTTATCCTTTATTTCTGTTTTATAGAAATGTATACAGTTGGCAATGCGTTCATCAGAATGGCTGACGGTATGGGACAGTATTGAGTACCACATTTAATACAACAAAGTATAGTAAGCAACTACATAAAAGACAAAGATAAAAACTAATGCAGCTTTCAAAACTAAACAAGTGCCCCTGTGTATTTGGTAGTCTATTCTATACAATTGTTCCTCTGCTAAAACTGCTATTAAAAAAACAACAACACCTACTGCTGTTTGACTAAGGTTAAAAGTGAACACGCTGACAATTATTGCCCTCAATGCATATTTGCCACTAAGGAATACTAAATGTATTTAATATGTATATGCGCATACTAAAATGTATCATATTTTACAAATATTAAAAAAGTGAATATTAAATGCGAGACCATCATTTAACAATTTCAAAATAGTTGAACTTTACGTTAGCCTATTAAAATCCCTCAAGCTGCCTCACAGGTTTTTTTCATAGCAGATGTTTTTCACACTGTTGAATACAGTGATTATCTCAGATACAGTAGAGAAGCTGTGTGTGTGTGTGTGTGTGTGTGTGTGTGTGTGTGTGTGTGTGTGTGTGTGTGTGTGTGTGTGTGTGTGTGTTATTCTGTATCCACAACCATGATGTGAACGAACAGCCCGGCCGAGGAAAGCAGGTTTCCGTCCTGAGTGAGCAGAGGCACGTGATGATATCCTGCGGAGAACAAACACACTCTTTACATGTCACTCACTGTAATCAAAACAACTCCTACTGTAAATCGGTCATTACAAGCGTTCATGTTTAAATATCTTTGTTTGGGCTTTTTTAACAGACAAAACAGAAGTTCAAATATTGGAATTGTGTCATTTAAACATGAATATAAAAAATTATAATAATAAATTATTTTATTCCTAAAAGTTTTTTTTTGTTTTAATTTGTAAAAAAAGTCCTCTGTAGTTTAAGCGAGACGGCTTGACACATTTTTTTTCTGATTTTACAATTTAAAGTTTGAGTTAAAAAAAAGTCTATTATTAACACAGACGTGTGTATATGTGTTTATACAACAGTTCTGTCTGGTTCTCGAATATAATCGGCTGATGTGTGATATTCTGCAATAACGGCACTCGTACAGCCTTTTCACTCTTGTGTATTACTCCTCCCACACAGAGTGACAGCAGATCAATAAACTCTTTACAGCTTGACAAATATTGCAGCTATTGGACAACATAATGCACTTTTAAGGCAGAAATGTAGTTGTTTTTATTGTAACTATGCAGTTTATTTATTAGGATAGTGCCTATTTTAAATATTTATAATTTCGGAGTTACAGCGCCATCCACAAGATGGTGGCAGAGCGCAAAATAAGCCCTTAGAGGAGAAAACCAGTGTAATTTCTAAGCACAGCTGATCAAATCATTATTAAACTGGTACGTGACATTTTGAGTCAATCTCTCCCTTTATTATGTTGCAGTGCTGTATTTATACCATAGTAATTGTAATGTATTAAGTGTGAGATGGGACTCGCATATCAGGAATGTGTGTATTTTGTGTTGGCCACTCTTTGTATAACCCTGAGTTACTTTTTGGTTGGTCATCTGTTTGTTTCTAAAGAGTCTCCTGTTTTCGTTATTGCAGATCAATTCCGTAAACAGAAAGAAAGAAGAAATGCCTGCATGTGTTTAGTGTTTTTCCTTATTGCATATCTGGCAGTGTTTGCTTTGCTTTGGCTTTTACATGAGTTAATTATTGTGATCTCCCGATTGCAACAGAGAAATACTGGGAAATCTTTGTAGACTGATGGCATTTCATGCTGTTCAGCACTATGATCTTAAAATGTCAGCAAAATCACCCGTTTTCCGCTAGAGAATCAGTCAAATACTAGCTCTAAAGTGACGTTTGTGAGTGAGCAACGGTTTCTGCTGTTCTGTCGTCAGCTTCAGATGTGATTAATGGCGGAGGAAAGTAGTTTCTCTTACAAAAGGATTTTGAAACTCTCCATGTTTGATTTTTTATATACACAATTATGTCATTAAAATGTTGCATAAATGCAATATCACACTTATAGCAGTGCGATATGGCTGTATATCGGCACTGGTGGGACATCAAGGCACTCAACCTTAAGATGTGTAAGAAATATAGTCTGCCTTGAGCCAAATTCCACTCTAAATGGCTAATTTCTCAAAAGGACTGAATTCTGATAGAAAAGAGAAGTCAACATTTTGTCTTCTCCTCATTATTCGAGGTGACTACATCTTGAGCAAACGGTAACAACTGTAGAAAGGGGATGGGGCACAGAGAACCATCTCATACAAGGGGTGCTAAAACTACATTAACATAAAGAGAGACAGAGAGAACAACAGTGTCAACAGCCAAGTAACAACTTCGTTAACATTTAGATGCAGTTAACGAAAACTGTATAAAAGGTATACTTTTAAGAAGGTCAGGGTTCATCCTGTACTTTAGACTGCTATGCTGGATAAACATCTTCATTGAGATCTTCTACATCAGGGGTGTTCAAACTTGGTCCTGGAGGGCCGGTGTCCTGCAGATTTTAGCTCCAACTTGCTTCAACACACCTGCAAGGATGTTTCTAGACTGCCTAGTAAAAGCTTGATTAGCTAGGCCAACTATGTCTGATTGGGGTTGGAACTAAACTTTGTAGGACACCGGCCCTCCAGGACAGAGTCTGGACATCCCTGTTCTACATCTTCCTCATTTTTTCTTTGAAAAAAAAAAAAAAACCTGCTTTTATTCTAGCCCAAATAAAACTTCATCTTGAAGAATAAATATTATAGGAAACACTGCGAAAAAATTCCTTGCTGTTAAACATCATTTGGGAAAAATAAATTATTCTAATAATTCTGACTTCATCTGTATATGTTAACCACAATTCATTATGGAAGCCATAATTTTTTTCACTTTAAAGTGCCCCTTGTAGGGTGATAAATCCCATTTGGAACACATTAATTTTCTTCTGTTGAACATACAAGATATTTGGAAAAAATGTTGCAAACCAGTAGCTGTTCACTTTAGTTTTTTTTTTTTTTTAGTAAAATGGAAGTTAGGGCTAAAATTGATATCAGTATTTATTGACTGAACACCATAGTCAATAACGATAAAAAAACGTTTGGTATGAAGTTTGGTATGAAGTGCTATAGTTTTATTAAAATGTGGCTGCTGAGTGCGCGCTTTGGAAAGAATGCCAATTAGCTTACACTTTCAGTTTTTCAATACATTTCAAGAGTTCGCCCTTGCCGATGATTGATTATAAAGTTTGTTTGGGATGCTGTCCTGGGAGAGAGCCCTGAGCTTATGAGATCCTCGAGCCTGGGGCTCCCTCTCAGATACAGATAACTCCCCTGCTTGATTATGAATTGGCTTTGCTAAAATTATTGCTAGCCTATAATGACAATTTAATTTGTCAATTTATTTATGTTGCATGTTTTGGTTTGTGGGAGGAAACAGGAGTGCCCGGGGAAAACCCACCAAACACAGGGAGAACATGCAAACTTCGCACAGAAACACCGACCTGGCCAGGTAAAGTCTGAGCCAGTAACGTTCTTGCTGTAAGGCAATGATGCTAATCATTGGTCCTATTGGTCTAATCTTATTGGTCCGTGCTGCCCTGATATGGAAAGGGGAGGAGTAGGGATGGAAGGGGGGGATTCTTCGAGACGAAGATGGCTAAGGTAAGATACTCTGGTTATTTATAATGATTTAGGAATCATCTGATTGGTGGATTGTGCATTAGCTAACAAGGATCAGCTGCTATCAATCATAAGCTCGTGCTCCTCTCGAAATTAGTTTATAAATAAACTATTCACTTCAGTTATAACGGGAGATTAATCACCTGAGACAAAGAGACAGCACACCCAAACACTGCAGTGCTTTTTACTTCTCTCCACAAACTTGTATCAGAGCTGCAGCAATGGTTTGTCAGTTTGCCATTCTCTGAGAAAACGGTTGATAGTCGGCTAGTTACGAGTGACGCCACAGAAAATGGTGAAGCAAAGCACGTGCTTGCGCATGTCACTTCAGGTCAGAATAATAACACATGTGAAAATGAGTGCCATATAGCAGCAGTGAGGACATTGTGAATAAAAAAGGATGTAAGAATGTCACCAGAGTGGCTTTTTGGTTTCTTTTCTTGTGCATCCCAGCCACTAGCTCCCCATCGAAAATTACTTTTAGCATAGTGGGTAATGTAGTCATTCAGCTTCACAACTTGAAATGCAGTATGTGTTTGAATAATGATGGCTGGTTCCTTTACTTGAAATGTTTACAGAGTTTGAGGTTTACTACATTGTTATTATTTACACCTTACAGATGCTGATCTACCTTTACCATTGAACACGCTTTTTTTGTTTGTTTATTTATCAAGTTTAAGAGTCTCTTTAATACTTCTGTTTATTTTATTAAAAAAAGATCAGAAACTTTAAATATTTTTGTTTTTGATAATTAAATGTATTTGCTTTAGTAATGTTGGTAAATCAAAATGAAGTGGTTAAAAAAGTCCCAATATTCCTAAATGTATTGTTAAAAATATTCCATAATTATGGATACCGAATGATATGAAACATGATAATGTGATTTTATATATCACCCAGCCCTAATGGAAGTCAAAGGCTACTGTTTCCAGAATCCTTCAAAATATCCACAATTGTGTTCAACAGGAACGAGTTTGAGCAAGTGGAGGGTGTGAAATTCTCGTACAGTACAGAAGTGCACTGACCGTTCCTCAAGCTGTTGAAGGGCAGTGTGTACTGGCCGATAAACTCGTTGTCTGATGTGGAGTCGTAGTCCTCAATCAAGAAACGCACCAAGGCCAGATCTGGCACACACACCTCCAACTGGAAGTTTTCATTCCACATGGGGTTAAAACCTACACAGTAAGGACGAGCGATTATGAACATTCACTCAGGACTCTTCTGAAAATCAGAGTTTACAGTGTTTCTTTATTTTACCATTGTTCTTAATGTAGGATGTTTCCACAGCTGCTGTGTCAGCGGGCACACCGTACACCTGCACTTTCACAATAGGGTCCACAATGGCGGACTCTCTCTTACCCACTTTGGGCAACTGCTGGGCTGAGATCACCTTAACACAAAACACAACTCAATTAACATAAAAGTAGACTAACGTACAGAGTGATGTGATGTGATGTGCACGACTACGAAAAAGCGTGCACGCTCCTATTTACTTGCGAAGCAACCATGCCTAGAGAAAACACAACTGGTGCGATGGGTTCCTTTTGAAGTAGATTGGACATAAAGCGATGATTGTGCAGCCGCAGTCCTGCTGCTTTTAAGAGGTCAAGATTTAAAAATATATACATGTATATATCCTTTTGTAAGCAGCAGTCATCTATGCTTTCATTTTAATTATTCTTTGAACAGATTATTAACAGCCTAACATCAACTGTGTGCGTGTGATCATCCTTTCATTAGCCCCTTTCACACATACAGACCTTTCCGGAAAATTGTTGTATGTGTGAACAGGTCCTTTTTGAAAATACCGGTAAATTCGTTCTGGCTATTTTCCGGAAAGAGAAGTTGTAACATTACCGGCAATTTGCCGGAATGCTGCGCTGTGTGAATGCAGAAGGAAGATTCCCGTAATAAGCGCGTGCACGTCTAGAACGTGCTGACGTGAGACGTCTGCTTTAGCCAATCACAACAGTCAGACGCATTTATGTCCGCGCGGTTTGGAAAAATATTCAAAGGCTTTTATTCTCACAGACACATTTAGCTGCTAGAAGTTAGTCAGATCACGTTTATATGTTCTTCTTAATGCCAACTGTGTAAATAATCATCGATGAGATGCTTATGATAAGCTGTTGTTTGTTTACCTTCAAGCTTTGCGTGTGCCTGTGAAACAGCCTGTGAGCGCCTGCACACGCACATATTATGAACATCTCGACATGCGAAAGTGATCCTGCGAAAGTTGTTCACAATATTGATCATCCACAGAGTTTGTAATTTAGTCAAATGTTTACAAATACAAGCGCAGCCGTTTAAAGCTCATTTCTGGTGAATTATGTCAGAATTTACCGGTATTTTGGAATGGATGTGTGAATGCTCTTTTCCGGAAAAGATATTTACCAGATATTTACCGGTATCACTGTGTGAAAGGGGCTATTATCACACACGCTATGTTTTTTACCTGCTTTCTTTATGCTCATAGTTATTTTTGTCAATATGGTGAATGGTCATTTTTTTTTACAATAACATTGCTTTAATATGAGATTAGCTCCCCGTTTATGTGTAATTAACTGGTGATGTGGGACTTTAAGCCAGGACAGATTATGCATATTTTAGATGCATCACAATAATTCTTTTTTAAGTGATTTTTTTCAAGAAAAGTTTTGTTGAATTAAAAAGTGCATGTATACAGCTATATTTTGCTTGTTTTGACACATTTAAAGTTTGTGGCTAAATAATTATTTATTTTTGGTGTGGTCAGAGATAGCTATATTTAGTAAATCCTTAATTTTGAGCTCTGAAAAGTCATGTGAAATAAGAACTAATTGCAATGCGACAACCTACTAGTCCATGCATACTGAGCAAGCTCACACACAAGACGCACACAAAAAGTGAAATGAATGAGGAGGCATGTGGACATAACACACGGTCTAAATCAAGTAATTTTAACATGTCAAAGTCAAATTTATGCATATAAAATATATTTTCCTAACAACAAAAGTGTGGCTAGTGAAATTGACGAGTGGCTAGTAATGTTGCAAATCTACTAGCCACAGTGGCTGCTGATCAAAAAAAGTTCATGTCAAGCCCTGCTCATGAATTTAAAAACTGTCATTTACTCATCCTCCACTTGTTTCAAACCTGTATGAGTTTCTTTCTCCTGTTAAACGCAAAATGAAGAACTTTAGAGAACTGTTGGAAACCAGTAGCAATGAACACCAGTAGTGTTTTGATTTCCACTATAAATGTCAATGGCTACCATTTTACTTCTACTTCTACTTGAAAGGGGGCATTAAAACTGGTGTGGAACAAGTGAACGGTGAGTACATTTTCATTTTTGGGCGAACTCCCTTTAAGGAGGAAACAGATTAAAATATGTTCTCAAATGGTATGTTTAACATATTATACTTAAAAAAAAATCTCGCTGCCTTAAACGTCCAATAAAGTGCTTTGAAATGAGCATTTTTTTAAAAATATTTGATGTAATCTCAACTGAAACACGAAGAGAGGGTGGGACAGATTAACCCCTCCCCTTTTTTAAAAGAACAGCCAATAGCGTTTTGTTTCATCACTGCTTTGCCTATGAGAGTGGTTGAGCTCAAGTGCATCAAATGAGAAGCGTCTTAAAAGGGGTGGGGCATGTCAGATACTAGAGCGCATTTGATTGGTTATAATGTGATGAGAAACTAGGATGACAGGAACAAAACCTTTGGTCTGTTCGGGCAGAAGTGACGAACTACAAGCTTTACATGTTCATATCAGTTTTATATCTTTTAATGCGATTTTTGCACTTTACCATCACATGAAGAGTCTTTCTCTTCAGCCACGGGCCCTTGGTGAGGGTGATGGGGTCAAACTCAGTGTCGCGCTCTCGCAGGTAAGAAGGTTTTAGGATGTAACCGCTTCGTCCATTTTGATAAAAGAGCCCCTGGTTCAGGTCCATCTCTAAACACGGAGTCTGGAAGTTCAGAGCCACTGGAGAGAAAAAAAAAACAGCATCATTGCAATCGGGCACTGATAAAATATCTGCATCATCTGCTTACATGCGTTCTTGTTTCTCAGTGAAGTATGGAGTGCATCAGAGATTCGTGTTTACTTCACCTATCTGACAGCCTGCATTCCACATGGGCACAGGGTTATAGTTGGAGGAGTCCGTCCTCATTCCTCCTGGGTAAATCCTACTGAGCTTGTCGGTGTTGTGACGGATATATTCAGTTGCTATAAAAAACACAGAGATGATTTTAGTGGGAACACACTTCTTAGAGGTTTAACTAGCTGTGGAACACATTTGTGTAGATGACATTACATCCACAGCAGTGTTGTTCACCAATAGAGATGCTTTCTGCAAAATTATAAACCTTTTTTTTTTATTTATTTTTATTTGTTTTACTTTTTTGGGTATCTCAGCAAGAGACTAAACCTAAGAGAGCAGTGAAAGGGAGAGTACCACTAATCATTTTCATTGTATTCTGGTTTGCTCAGATAATAAAAAAAGTCCACAATAGTGTTTTTTAGGGATTTCAAAATAATGTCCATGGCAGCCAGAAGTGAAAACAATGTCAAATTTACTGTTTCACACAGACACAGCATTTCAAACACCCTAAATAAATAAGCCGTAATTCTGTATTTTTATTTATTTTTTGGAAGCTGATGCAAAGGTGATATATTACAACATACTGCTTTATAAATATGCACATACATCAAAATTTCAAGCAATTGGGATGCTAATGACCACTAAAAGCATCATAACTGTCTTTTGAAAGGGTCCATAACAAAATGATGCAGTTTGATGCCATTAAACACTTTACAAACAGCAATAGTAATGTATTTACTAACACAATAATCAACACATTACTGTATTTATTCATCTTTCTAAATATTTAATAAAAATACAGTCACTGGTTTATTGCTAGTTCTTGTTAATTTACAGTGCATTAACTACTGTAGGTGTTTATAGGATACAGGAAGAAACAATTTAAAAGAACCGACTTGTTCTGTTGATCAGTGTAACGTGTCCTTGCTTTAATCGTCAGTTTTTCAACTACATTTACCTTCTATGCGAGTTACAAACTTTTACTTGAATCAATCATTTAAAAATGTATACATAACTTTTCTCATCCACATGTAGTGGGAATGCCCTAAATCAGGGTTTTTCAAAGTCTAAGACAGTGGGCCTCCCTTTTGACACAACTTATCCATTGGCGCCCCCCTCCTTCCAAACACGCACGCACGCACGCACGCACATTATATATATACATATATATATATATATATATACATACATACATTATATATAAAGACACAGACAGATGTCAGACTGTTAACTCACTTTTATCATCATTTGCATGAAGGTGCAATTATTTACAGAGTAATAACAAGTATTTTAATATAACGTTTTTAAAACTAGGATGATGGTTCAATATGAATAGAACAGATCCAAGAACTGTCCATCCCAGTCAAAACAGTCGAAGTTTAGCGGGTCTCATGCTGTCATTAGCCAAAATATCTTGACAAACCACACATAAAGGTGGTGGTTCATCAGCTGGTCCTGTCCACGTAAATCCTAAACTCAAATACTAATATTTGATAATATTGCAATGTGATCATAGTCACATCGTAGGATGTACAGTGTTCAGTTTATATTATTGTTCATCATTTGCATGTGTTTTTGATGCCTGTGACTGTATAGTGATTTTAAAAACATTCAGCTACAAGAAATTGTACCGATTGTGAACTAAACTATGATTAATTTGATTGAATTATTTAGATTTTTATTATTCAGTTATTCTACTTGAATACTGTTAGACTCTGGAAACAAAAAAACACTTTATTTCAATGGTGTCTTTTTCTTGATTGTATTTATAGATTGTTATGCATGAAACCACTCACAACACACACAAATACAGAAATGCACTGCAAATAGCTGAGACCACAATGAAAATGTTTCAGGGGCCCCCAAAAATGTATAGATTGTTTACTAGATTTTATGGAGATGCACTCCCACTGCAGAATCATCCCAATCGATCTTAGGTCATCTGATACAATTGTATTCCTATTGCAATATATAAAAATTGCAAAAAAAAAAATCCATATATGTTTGTAATTTTCCAATATCGTACAGCCCTAGTGCATCACGCTTTTTTAGATTAACTGCTGGCTAAAGGCTGATTTATACTTCTGCGTCAAACACCGGCGTATGCTACGGCGCTGACGCATAGCCCTTCGCCGTGGCCGTCACTGACGTGCACCTCTCAAAAAATGTAACTACACGTCGCAACGACGCGTAGCGCAAGCTCTATGATTGGTCGGCTTGGTAGCGCTGACGAGTCGGGGCGGGACCGAGAGCCGCGCGAATGGCGTGAACCCAATGTAGCGATTGTTTACAAGTGTGGAGTCCCGTGAAGGAGCTCCGGATGGAAAGTTTTGTTTTGTGTTTACCTCATAGTTAAAGTTGCTGCACGTCCGCCGGTTCCTGCCTCAAAATGAGCGAGTTTGAGCCACTTGTACATCCCGGAAGTGTTCAGGAAAAGCAAAATTGCAGCGAAGAAACTCGACACAGAGGAACATTTACACCTCACTGCCAACTAGCGTTTCGGAAGTGTTAATGCAGACCGACAGAGACAGCGCGCAGAAGTATAAATGCACAGCCACGCGCGTTGCCTGCGCCGTTGGTTACGCCGGTCACTTGACACAGAAGTATAAATCAGGCTTAACTCTTATGATTTTTTTAAAGGTTCAAGAAGTCCTTGAGTACTTTTTTGAGGTTTTACCAGATTTGTGTGTGCTGGGCATCAGTTAAGACAATGTGAGCACCTGAAATTTTAATTGTGGAAAAAAACTGGATCATTTTGAGCTTTTGTCAGCTAATTTCAGCTTCCGGGTTTAAAATGATTTTTGGGTCGGGATCAAAATCGGCAACGTAGCGTAAAACTGCAAGTGGAGTGATGACACATCGGTTTCTCATTATTATTCATAGTGGAGTTTTCTTATCCTATGAAAAGAGCCAGCTTCTTAATTATTCATGACTGTGCGTGCTTTCCGAAGGCAAGGCGGACCTGCCAAGCAATAAGAATCTATATTGATGACTAGTTGAGACCGTGTCCACGGACTGCATACAGCACACGGTATTTAGCTGTTCATGAAGGTTTGTATGTGCTGGTTTCTCTGATTCACTGGGTTTGTTGCATGTTTTTTCCTGCGATCCTGTCAAAGCTGTTTGTGTGCAGGGAGCATTTTTGTCAGGAGAGCAGTATGAGAATGGCGAACTTATCAGTTGAGTTCGTTCACATTAAGACACAACCACCGTGCTGCTGTGTTTGCCTAAATCCTCTAGATTACCAGCAGGGCTAATGGTTGAAATAGGCAGGGCAAGAGACCTGCTGCACTGAGTCTGCATTTAGACCCGGGGATTGAGGGAGAAGTCCTCATTTATAGTGTTTATATGAACACGATTATCTTTATAATGATATAAATTGTGGTTATCTGTATATGGTATTATGAATAACAAATGTAGCAGGGCATTAAATTACTGTTTATTTCTTTGCATTTTACTTTGTAAACTATAAAATCATGCGTCTCCTCACGGTTTGTGTCTCATTTTGTGAGCCGACTGACAACAGTTGTTCGCTCCCCTCCTTCTCTCCTGCTAGCCACGCCCACTCCTTCCACTGCTCGCAGAGCTCCACCCCCATCATAATGCATTTTTTGAAAAATTCTGAGGTAAACTTAAACCGAAAGAGATGGGTTTCATGGCCCTTTAAGCTGAGCAATAATATATGAACACATTTTTTTTTTTTTTTTTTTTTTTACTTATTAATTATGTTTATTTAGTTTTTCAATGGGAAGTTACAACCTGTAGAGGGAGGCGAGTGTTTATTTGGGGTAGTGATAGCAACAACAAAGAGCATAGAATCACCAAGAGACGACACTCTAGTGCAATATGGGAAACAGCCACTAGATGGCGGCGGCCATTTTGGAATTAAAACTCCAATAGAACAACAGCATATTATAAGTCTCTAAAATAAACTATTAAAAGTGCTGATGATTGTGATAGGAAGTGTTGTATTGTCGTCTTTCGGGTTGTATCTCAGCTTTAATACACTTTTTAAATAAATAAATAAAAAACAAAGCAGCTGCTTGCCATCGCAACAGCATTAAGATCCAATGGACGGCTGATCGCTTTCACTCCAAAATGGCGGAATCCGGGGCTGTTGCTGGGCGCTGCTGTTGCAATGGAACATTGAGTGTCACCTCTTGGTCATTCTAAGCTCTTTGGCAACAATATGAAGGATAATTATAAAATGAATTCCATTCAGAAAATCTAATAAAAAGACATTTGGAAATACTTATTTTGATGTTCCCTTAAAGGCATTTTGCTTAATTAAAGTTACATTGCATCTACATGCCAACTAATTCTCATTAGATTATAGGTTAGGGTTATAGTTATAGCAAGTTGACATCTAATTGCAAAGTTTCTTACAGTCAGTTAAATGTCTGTTGGAGGAGCAGTATCAGCAGATATACAAGCAATCTACTAATACTCAAAATGTGCAACAGGGACCATCAAAATAAAGTCTTACAAAACATTTTGATTAAAAACTATTCGATTAATAAATGATGCGTTTCTCTTTAAGCTGCCACACAATTTCACATGAGAAAACCCCTGAATGGCTCTTTAAATGGTGAGTCACCAGCTTATTTACATATTCAAAGTGGTCTAAGGTGTTTCCCTCAAGTAGAGCATATCATCATCATCATATGTGGATGTGTGTTTTGTTAATAAATCTGCACGAACAGTCCTCATGACATTTACAGCTAGTGTTGTGTTTAGCATCACACCTGACTCCTCCGCTAGTTTCAAAGCTTTCCCCTCTTTGAAGGAGGCCATCTCATAAAAAGAATGCTTTTCCCGGGAATCCTCAAGCCCATGGAAGGGCACACTCTTGCAGTAGATCACAATGTCAGAAAGCTCCTTCGCCAGCTTCAGCGACTTGAGAATATGTAATTACAAATATAAACAAAGACAGATTACAAAATATAAACAATATTAGTAAAACAATTAGCACTCAATACTGTAATAATAAGTGTTACAGTGTCCTTGTTACATTCATTCATTCATTTTCTTTTCGGCTTTTATTATTCTGGGGTCGGCACAGCGGAATGAACCGCCAACTTACCCAGCATATGTATTATGCAGCGGATGCCCTTCCAGCTGCAACCCATCACTGGGAAACACACATTTACACACATTTACACACGTACAGGGCCGGATCAAGCTGAACTGCCGCTCTAGGCAAAGGACGGTAATGCTGCCCACAACCCTAAAGTGAAAAAAAAAAAAAAAAAGGGGGGGGGGGGGGGGTGATGGGTGCGAGGGAGCTGTCGCGGACACCGCCCTCTCTATTCTGCCGCCCTAGACGCGGATATAACTAAGGGCGTGGGTGGTGAGGGTAGTGTCGTGGACGGCGTCCTTGACGCGGATATAACCGAGGGCGCGAGAGGTGAGGGTAGTGTCGGGGACGCCGCCCTCTCTATTCTGCCACCCTAGGCAGCCGTCTAGGTCGCCTCTATGGACGCGCCGACCCTATTCTGCCGCCCTAGATGCGGATATAACTAAGGGTGCGGGTGGTGAGGGTAGTGTTGCCGACGCCGCCCTAGACGCGGATATAACTGAGGGCGCGAGAGGTGAGGGTAGTGTCAGGGATGCCACCCTCTCTATTCTACCCTCTCGCGCCGGCCCTGCACACGTATAAACAGACAATTTAGCTTACTCAATTCACCTATACGGAATGTTTTTGGACTTGGGGGAAAACGTAGGAAACCCATGTGTACATGGGGAGAACATACAAACTCCACACAGAAACGCCAACTGACCCAGCCGAGGCTCGAACCAGTGACCTTCTTGCTGTGAGGCGAATATGCTACCCACTGGGCCACCGTGCAGCCCTATTCATTTAACTACTACTTAAATATATGTACTTACTACATATTTAGTGTATAAAATTTTTTTTCAAAAATATATACAATTGAATTAATGATATTATTACTATATATTTTAATAATATTAATATAACGTTTTTATAGTTATGTTTTAAATGTAAAATGATACATCATTAATTTAGTAAAAGTAACGAATGACATTTATTGTTAAAGATGAAATGATTGCGGTCCATGCTCAGGTGTGTGTAATAAAAGGAGCAGATAAATCCGCTTACGCCAGACTTCTTTTCGTTGTTTTCTTCGTCACCTTCATCGTCTTCTTCCTCTGACACACTTTCTTCATCTGCCATCTTGGACTCATCAGAAAATGCGTTTTCCAGTTTGTCTAGTCTCTTCCCTTTGACAATGAACCGGCCTTTGAGTTCCTAAATGCAACACATTCAACTTAAAATCAAAACTTTCAAAATTCAAAAATCAAAATTGCAGTTCATCACAAATAATGCATCCATGTACTTGTTTTTACTTATATCAATATAACTCACCCTCTTTTTTGCAATGACATCTCTTATAATGCGTTCACTAGACTAAGATGGGATTTACATGAGATCCACCAATATCAAACCACAATAAGTGATTCAATCAAATCAGATCAAAAAACATTTTGTTTTGTTTAGAGAAGTTGTTTTACTCGGGTATACCTCGGATAGGAAAGACGACCACAACTTTTATTTACTGAAAACTCAATTAAAGAGACTACAGATTCTGCTTTTAGTTCATGTTTACATTTATTCTCATTTACTTATTAATATTAATTTCTACTTTAAAGGGATAGTTCAACCAAAAACATTTACTGTGTTTCAAACCTTTATGAGTTTCTTTCTTCTGTTGACCAGAAAAGAAGGTATTTTGAAAAATGTTAGAAACCTTTAACCATTCACTTCTATAGTAGGAAAAATAAATACCATGGAGGTCAATAGATACAGGTTTCCAACATTTTTAAAAATATCTTCTTTTCTGTTCAGCAGAAGAAAGAAACTCAAAGGTTTGAAACACAGAGGATGAGTAAATGACAAAATTTTTATTTTTGTATGAATTACTCTTGAATCCTACACATAACTAGGCCCAAACGGAATCTGCACGCACAGATTTCTGCAGATTTTTAGCCCATCATTAATTCTGTTTATTTGCTTGAGTAAATGTGTGTAAATCTATATTTATTCATTTTTTAAAATTAATTACAGTAATAATATTGCCTAATATAAAAATGTTCATCTGATTTATGTACAATGCAGTTTGTAAAGTAATATTTTCTGTCTTTTAGTAGAATAATTATATGACAGACTTGCTTTGTTTACTGTGGATTAATGTGGATCTAATTGGATTTGCATTTTAAACATTAAATAAAAGATAAAAAGGTATTATTTTTATTTCACATATTAAGGTTTTAGTTATAATACTCTCAAAATAATTAACCAGAAATCAGCAGATTTTTAACAAAAAATAGCAAAAAACGCCTGCAGATTCCATCTGGCCCTACTCATAACCATAAAACTTGAAATGCTTGTAATAATTTATCATTTGTTTATGCCCAACAGCCCTAAAAATATAAACTTTAAATATTTATATATAGAAAAAAAACATATGATGTGATTTTAGCATTTATTAAACAAGTCTCTGTATTTTATTTTATTTTTTTTACATTTGCAGTAAATGATACCCAAGTGAACAGCAGTACTTCTATTGTTGCCTGTGACAGTGACCTGGATGAGCCACACCTTGACTGGAGGTCATTGAAAACAATGGTATGTAAGCTATGATAATCAGTCATTTACCTGAAGGACAAGCACCAGCCACCACAGCAATCCAATCCAAAAAGCCATCTTTAAAAGCAGTTCACCACCAAACCAACGTTACCACAAAATCCTGCTTTTTCTGTTTTCTTATTTTTGTATTCGTGCTGTGTGTGAGCTTAAGTGACGTGCTGCAGGTGTCTGCGCTCCTGAGGGGCTGACATTTGTAAATAACTCAGATAAACAGAGTTTGAGATGCTGTGATGAATTTAAAGCAGCTGCAGGAATTCCACACATTCCACACTGAATTCCATCCTGAAAGCATCTCCTGTTCAGACAGGCTGGAAAACTCAAACTGGCTCTCGTGTCTAGATCCACGTCTAATGGATTAAAATGAATGGTTTGATCTTTTTCTGTCGAATATTCTAATTAAATATTCAATTTGTATGACTTAATAAAATAGCAAAACAATTAGTTGTTTTCGATGCCACTTATTTTAGTTTATGTCTATCCGCTTGTTAAGTGTGACGTCACGCGAAGCGGCTTCCAGGTCCAAGCGCTCTATTCAACTGAATGGGGCGACTTAGGAAATGGTAATAATAAACGTTTACAAAGTGATTTAATGCTTTCAAAAATCACTATCGCAGTATATATGTCCATGCCTAATATCCGATGGCCAGAAAGTTATTATTTTTTTATAAATTGTAAAATTTTGGGTATTTGTTATGCAGTAAGCCCAAAGATTGTTGTGTACACTATGACTTTATGTAAAATTAACTTTAATGTGTGATAGGAATAAAACGTGATCATAAACGAATGATTTCTACACTCAAATGAATGGCGGCTTGGACCCAGAAACAGGATTACATACGTCACAAACACGTCACCACTTAACAAAAGGATAGCTAGAATACTTAATTTTGATTGGTCGATTCATTTTATGGTCAGATATTTTTGCAGTTTAAATACCCAACAAGCAAAGCACACTGTACCAGTATGTGTTATGGGTAAGTTTAAGAGTGGGTTAAGGTTTAAGGAATGAGTCAACAATGTGATTATAAATAGAATTAAAGAAATTATAGATGCATTTACATGCAGTTATTATTAAATGTAATAACAATAATTAACTACATATGCAAGTACATACAGACCATTTTTAAAGTAAGCACAAAATAAAAAACTAGTGCTGTCAATTGATTAATAAAAAATTAACTATTTAAATCACACTTTTTTGCTATTATCGTGATTAATCGCAATTAAAAGACTGAAACTTGTAATTTTGGCTATTCAAATGTAAAATTCATGTAAACTCAAAACAAAGAAACTATTTAAATTCAAAATATGATCAGAATTTTTGTTCAACTTGTAAACGATTTTGTCAGGTAAACAACATACCTGCAATAAACCATCAAGATCCTCAAACTGTTGGCTTGAAAGCCATGTTTATTACAGAAATAAAAACACGGCAGAGTTAGTGTTATTTGAATTTCAAAACAATCAATGCATGCCAATAACTAATTTCCATGTTGGATTATATGTGAAACTGCAAAAAATAAATAAATTAAAGAAATAAAGGAATTTCAGAAAGAACAAATTCAGAAAAAATTTGTTTTAATTCTTTCAATTTAATAATTAATTTAATAATTAATTGTGTTAATTATTAATAATTAATTAATAATTAATAATTATATTCATTATTATTAATATTATTAAAATGGACAAAACGCCCTTTTGAACCCTTTTGAATGTTTGCTTTCATTTTGACATGCTAAAGCGCACTTTTACAGTTTTGTAAAGAAACATCCCATTATGCAGCTGCAGTCAAGTTGTGTCACACCAAAGACTATAGACTTCTTACAGGGATTTTGGTCACCCCATCTCTAAACAATTATTTCTTAACAATTTTGAGGGATAAGGACACTGTCTGCGATGTTTGGTGTTTGTTCTTGTTGCCAGGAAATGCATGCGCGCGCGCGCACACACACGCACGCACACGCACACGCACACGCACACACACACACACACACACACACACACACACACACACACACACACACACACACACACACACACACACACACACACACACACACACACAACGCTGCCAGTACAGTGCACCCAGGACTCTTCAGATTCATCAACACAAACTGTACGATTGCGTTCATTAAATTTGCTTAAGTGTTCTAAAGTATGACAATATGTCACAAAGATTCTGACACATCAACATGAAGCACTTTACAAAAGTTGTGTGTGTGAGGGGAAACGCATCAAGCTTAAAACATTTGAGGGCTCATGGAATCAACATAAAGGCAGAGGAATCCAATGTCTCTGACAGCTTGCGATATCATCTGGCATTTTCACTGAGTATGTTTACATGGACACCAATACTCCGATTTTAATATGATTAAGATAATACTCTGATTAAGAGTCTACCATGTAAACAGCGAATTTACAATACCTAACCACACAAGTCACGAAATGCGGAAGAGTTTTCTTTCCATTTGGCATGCGGTATCAAATTCCAATAAAACAAGAGCCTGGTGATGCAACGTTAATTGTTTTATACTGAAATTTTCCTTCTAAAAGTGCTTCCTTGGTCTTATCCATATTTCTTTGCATGTTGAATACACGTCGGCCACAAAAGGAAATAAAAACTGCAACTTCATTAATTTTTTTAACGCATTCGATATTTCAAATTAATCGCATTTATTAACATGCTAATTCTGACAGCACTATAAAAAAACATCCATGTACAAAAAAGCATTGTATCAAATTAAATGCAAGTACACAGTAACTTAGGCCACTTTATTTCATGTGGGATCTTTGTATTTTATGACCAGCTTAATGTACATCGTCTGTAATATAGTCTTGCAAGTTGCAACTGAAACTGCCTGTATAACATGGATTAGTAGATTACTGCAGCCACTGACCTCTGGTGCAGGCAGGCATGTGGGCATCTGATCTCCAAGGGGTTTGGTGACCAGTGCGCTGCCCAGAATGGAGGTCAGATGCTGAGCCATGATCTTCTGCTGCTCCACACCGCAGTGGTTCTCCAGAGACAGAATCACCGGGTACTCGGACGTCTGGAGGAGGACACAAGCACACTAGCTGCACTTACAGACACTCAAACAATGCATTTAAGTGGAGTGGCAGCACAAAAAAAAGTGTCTATACAATTTTTTTTTTTTTTTAAAGTTAAAATATCACGTCAATCTGAATTAATTGGTCAAATCTGATTAATATTATTCATATTATAAGGGGGAGGTTAAACCTTTTAAACCTTTTCCTATACAATCTTGAGGACATGTAAACACTCAATCAGATTGAAAACTGCAACTGGGAACTTTAGTGCATGCCTAGTAATGACTTATAGACCATTTCAATGTGGTCATGTCATTGGCCCATGAACATTTCCTGCTTGCTATCAAACTATTTCATAACTGTAACAAGAGGCAATTCAATCATAACTTAATGTTATATCAGCTATCATAGCAATATTTATCAATATGTGGCTCTTTTGGGATTCTTGGAAGCTATAGAAATTTAAAATGTAAAACAGGAAAAAAAACTTGTGACCATTCTTTTGTTTACATCCCTCAAAATGGTCTATATCACACAGACCTACTGGAACAGAAAAAAGGAAAATATTGGCGAGAATAATTTAATATTTTTCTACATTGTAGCAACATTTTATTTATACAGTAGAGACAAAAATTCAAAGAAATCAGTTGACATGACTGCAGATATTTGGTCTCATAGTTGAGATTCCCAAGGTCTCGCATAAAACACCACACCACATGAAGAGCACTGGCAGTTTCAGCTGTGTTAATGTGCTTTAGAGGACAAGCAGCCTTATGTTGTTTCAAAATGTCACCTCAGACATTCATTTACAGATTTATTTTTGTTGGAATGACATCATTTTTACAGTTTGATAAATTATCAAAGCAGCTGCACAAAAGGCTAATTATTAAGTCTGTTAAATATTTTTTTTTAAAAAATACTAGTTTTTTTTAAGCAGGAGGCTAGTATATATACACACAGTTAAAGGCAATATAATTAGCCTTCCTGAAAAATTGGTATCTTTTAAAAAATTAATTAGTGATTTTTAACAGACTAAGAACATTTTCACAGCATTTCCAATTGTGTTATGTCTTTTAGAGAAAGTCTAATTTATTTTTAACTTTCGTTTGATTGGAATAAAAGCAGTTTTAACATGTAAAAATAAATAAAACAAATATTTTAAGGTTAAGAAATTATTTTCATTAGCTACAGAACAAACTACTGTTGTCCAATGGCTTTCCTAATTAAACCAACTTACCTAGTTAACCAAGTTTCTTGCAAAATAACCAGTAAAATATTAAGTAACAGTTATTAAAACAATGTTTAAAATGTGTTGAAGAAAAAAAAAAACATTTCTCCCTTAAACTGCACTTTAAAGTAGGGATGCAACAATTAACCAACTTTACTATTAACCGTGCTTCAATTCGTCACAGTTAATTAATTGTAAAGTCTTCTCAACACCGCGTTTCTGCATGGAACAAAATTGCTGCAACTAAACAAAGTTATGGCAACTGTGTGCTAGTTTAAAGTTACGAGCTTGTATGCCAAGGCTAATACCCATGCACACTGGATTAACTATGGCTGAGGCTATTAACTAAGGGGCGATCACATATTAGGTCTTTTGTATGCGCAAGTTCGCTATTTCTATATTGGGATCGACATACACGTAGAACTCAAGCAAAGAATATAGAATACACAAGACATGTCACTCATATCTTTTTGAATGAGGAAAAAGTATAACGATCAATATGGTATACCTGTTAACCCTCCCATTTTTCCCGGGATTCTCTCGTATTTTACAGTTGTATCCTGCTATCATTCTGTGAAGCTTTTTTCCTGTATTTCTCACGTATTTTTAGTCTTTCTCTGAAGGGTGACAAATAAACATTAAAGAGCCGAGCCTCACTATACTCAACCCATACCGCCGAACCACCAGGGGCCGCCCCTTGCTCTTAAATGGGAGTCTGTTCTGTGCTTTCATTTTTAGGCATAAAAACACTTTTAGGCAAAAAAAAAAAATGTCGGGATTCCTTTCCTTTTCAGTACAAGTACCGTCTCCCCTGCATATGCAATCCTCAAAACCTCAAATCCTCAAAACATATCACTTCATATAACGGTGCATGGCTGTCAGCTGACGTGCTTCATAACTAAACTGATTCTGTACACCTGATTTGAAGAGGAGCAAAAGTTTGGGTTTTGGGTGTGTGTTTAAACAGATTTATACATAACTAATAATAATAATAATAATAATATCTAAATATGTCGATCTTGGTGTTTTTTTTTTCCCCAAACACAACTAATTTCGTCCTAAATGAACATAAAAAGTTAGAAAAGTAATTAAATGCTTTCATTATAACAAATCATTTGTTGATCTTTAATCAGAATGTGTAAGTCATGCAGTGACAGAACAGCTAATGCGATTTGATAACTTGATTCTATTACATTATAATAGCTATTAATTTTAATAAGCTGAACTGTTTGTTAATTTATTTGCTGCTAATGTATACTATTTATTTTCTCTTTTGTCAATAATAAAACATATTACTGACCATTTAACAGTTTATTTACAATGAAAAAGCCCCAACAGGGGGTCGGGGGAATCCTTTATTATGGTGGGCATACGCCTTATTTTCACATGCCAATGTTGACAGGTATGCTTCTAGTACAGCAGCCAATTATTGATCGCTATACACTGACAATACTCTGGGGGAGATGATCGGACCAGACGTGAGTTTCTGCAGATTTTGACATTTAGAAATGAAACTAAATAGACAGTTGTTATTTAATTTTATTGGTGATTCCTAATATGAAATTCAATCGTAAGCTTGGCAAGCAGTTTTGGAGAATTTGATATTTTCCCATTCAAACAGAATGCCCGAGCATACTGCCCGAGACGTGTATAAGATAAGATGGCCATCGAGTGAAATGACTTGTCTTAAAGGGACTTTGGCGCGAGTCATAGGCTGCGTCCGAAACCGCATTCTTCCATACTATATAGTACGCTAAAATCAGTATGCGAGCCGAGTAGTATGTCCGAATTCATAGAATTCGAAAATCAGTAGGCGAGAAGTACCCGGATGACTTACTACTTCCGGCGAGATTCTGAAGTGCGCATCCCATGCACGCTGCGCTATCCCATAATGCCCCGTGAGAGAACTCATGAATGGAAGTGAGACAACGCAGCGGACGCAGGTAGGTCACGTGACCATGACAAAATGGAGGATGTAGTACGTCCGAATTCCATTCATACTTTTCAAATTCATACTGTATAGAACGTACTTTTCTAACGGCCGAGTAGTACGTTTAAATTCAAATGCAGTACCGACTGAGTAGTAGGAGGTTTCGGACGCAGCCATACTTTCCAAGTGCACCTAGCTAAAAAAATGGCACAAGCATACTGTAAGTCACATGACAAGAACTGACCGATTAGCTTCATACTTGTTATAGAATATAAACATTTATAACTTCAAAGAGAAAAAAAATACAAAATGAAAAATACCAAACAATATTGTAATCTAGTCGGTCCAAAGTGCCTTTTAGACAGACGTTAAGCAGCCTTTGACTACATTTGTTTTCTTTAAAAGGGAAATACTTATAAGTTAATTTGTAGCTTAGATTTATATCCGAGAAATATTTATTTTAATTTATTCTTATTTTTATTTATTTTTTTATTCATTGTTCTCTCATTGATTTTCAGTGTAAAATTATTACTTATGTTTTAATGGTCAAAACTTTTCAAATAGTCAAAAAAAATTTTTTTTTTTTTTTTCACAATTTGTTGATGATGCACAAATCCAAAGAGAAATGGACTATTGTTTGATTTTTATTATCATTTTGCGCTGTATTTGGTTACTGAGCATCAATAAATAACACTTGAAAATCACATGATAACTTTTTATATTTTAAAAACCTAGTAGTGATTTGAAATTAATAAATGCACAATAATCGTGATAACTGTGATTATTCCTCAAACTATAATCATACAACCAAAAATCTATAATCGTTGCATGCCTACTTGGAATATATTTGAAAAAGAATTATAATTTCAGAGGATATCCTGAAACTCAAACTCTATATTTATGCAGTGTGCACAAAGCTTGTGGCTAAAGCACACATCAACCCAATTACTTCATTCAGAGTTCATGTAAACCCTGTGTTCAGAACAATCAATCTCAATGCTTTCATTCAGACTGAATTAAACAGCGTGCATTGTATCGTTGACATGGTACACGTGGAGCGCATACTAGAAGGACAAGCTCTACAGGTCCTAAAACAAACAGTAGACATCACTCTATTATCTCAGTGAAATGATATGCTATTGCATCCATTTTGCTATTAAGCTTTTTACCTTGAAGGCATATTCTTTAATGGCTTTAATCACATCTTTGAAGAGGATTTTTGAAGTGAGAGTATATCCATGGTAAATGACCGGCTCTCCGTCTGATCCATCCCAGCAGTCCAGCTCCACGCAGCGGCAGCCCTTCAGAAGAGCTCTAAGATACGAAACACAACTTATACATTACTACATGCATACATAAAGTGTCATGTTGTGCTTTTTACACTTTAAATGACTTCACATAAGCCATATTTGTAGCTACGTTGTTTTATAATAATACATTTCATTTAAAAAGGCGCCTTTCTGGCAACTCAAGGACACTGGACAATTAAACAAGAGCAACAAAACAAGAGGAATAATATACAAGTATACACACCAATAGTTCAAATACAATTAAATATTAAAAGCCACCTTAAGTGAGTTTTGAGTCTTGTTTTGGATAATGTAAGCGTCAATGTTTCTGATGGCAAGTGGAAGTGAGTTCCAAAGCTGGGTAGCAAAGATGCTGAATGCTCTGCTGTCCATAGACGACAGACGAGCAGAGGGAACAGACAAGTGGAGGGAAGAAGAAGATCTCAGGGAGCAGCAATATGAATGGAGGGGGGAGATTGTGGATGGTTTTGATTGTTAACAGCAAAATTTTAAAATCAATGTGGAAGGGGACTGGTAACCAGTGAAGCTGCTGCAGGACAGGGGTGATGTGATGAGAAGAAGGGGTTCTGGTGATGATACAGGCAGCTGAGTTTTAGACCAACTGAAGCCTACGGAGGGATTTATGAGTGAGGCCAAAGAGAAGGGAGTTGCAGTAATCTATAAGAGATGTGCAGACTATGAACAAGAACTGCAGTGGCCTGGGGGTAAGAGAAGGGCCGAGTTGGTTAATGTTACGCAGGTGGAAGTAAGCAGACCGGGTGATGTTATTAATGTGAAGAGTCAAAAGATAGGGTGCCATCAAGGATGACACCCAGACTCTTGACCTGTTTAAAGGGATAAATGGAACGGTCATCAATAGAAAGAGAAAAGCTGTCAGTTTTGGAGAGTGTTGATTTGGTATCAACATCAGTTTTTGCACTATTCATTTTTGAGAAAGTTAAGAGAGAACCAAGATTTGTTCTGTTAAGCAGACTGTAAGGAATGAAGGTGGAGAGGGTTTGCCAGAGAGAGATTGTCATCCACGAAACAGTGGAACTGTATGTTATATTTACAGAGAATATTACCAAAAGGAAGGAGATAGATGATTAAAAGAAGGGGCCCCAGGACTGAGCCCTGGGGTACACCTGAAGAAACTGTAAAATGCTGAGAAGCGAGTGATTTGAGTTGAATGAACTGAGTTTTACTGTGAAAACATACACAGAAAACATTCTTGTAAAAATTGAGGCAACACTTCAGTTTAAGTAACAATTCTCACTATTAAGTAGTGACTTTTATTACCTGCATATTACTAAGATATTGGCTTATTATTAGTACTTTTAAAAGTACAAATTTTGCATGTTCTTTTCCTACATCCTAAATTTCTGAATCTAACTTGACATTATTAACAAGCAGCAAATTAGGAGTTTATTAAGGTAAAAGTCATAACTAATGGTTTATTATTTTATTAGTTTATTTATAGCAATATATTAATATCAATATTGGTTTATTGTAGGAAACGGGTTCGAACATCCAAACTCCACACAGAAATGCCAACTGGGCCAGTTGGGACTCAACCAGTGACCTTCCAGCTGTGAAGCAACAGTGCTAACCACTGAGCCACTGTGCCACCAGCATGCTACATGATCGTTGATAAATAATGACTTGAAATGATCACAATAAATCTCTTTCACATTAGCAAAATCATTTGCCCAGCATAATTAGCATTCCAGACTTTAATCATAGATCAACACACTTAAATACCTGACTAAAGACAGATTATTCATAGATTTAGAATAAAAAAATTTATATTTTAAAAGTAGTCTGCTATGCTTCTGTGAAATTGTAAGTGTTTTACATTTGTGGCCTGAATTACAAGTGCACAAAACAGCTGTTGTAACTTTGGAGGACATCATTTGCAGAAAAATTCCAAACATCTAAATCTCTTCATGAAGGGCCCTTCAATTAAAAAGGGACTTGTAAAAACTTTACAACACCCTACAATAAGAGCTCTTGAAGGAGAGCAGAGAAATGTTCATCTCCTGTGGAAATCAGTACCTCATTTGGACCATTAGAACCCTGGTTTATCATCTTAAAAAAATAATAATAATCTAAAAACTCTGATTAAACTGTTTAAGCAGTTTTAATTGACCAGTTAAATGGAAAGGATGTCAATCGTAGCATGATCACAAGTGTGTGTCTGTGTGTCTGTGTGTGTGTCTGTGTGTGCAGGAGAGAAAGATAAAGAGGAGTGAGCATATTTGGGTTCATAGTGAGTTTGCTGTGGTACACCAACTATGTGACGGATGCACTTGCACCAACTAGAAATTTAGCGATTTATTCAATACACTTGATTTAGCAAAAGCTGTGATTGTCATGTGTATATTGTCAGGGACGCATGACTCTGTGATCAGTAGCAAATTCTGATAACATCAGGAAACCTGCAGGAACTCTGCTGCAATATTTCTACTATTTTATTATATATTTGAAGAGTTCAGATGCAAAAAGTGCCATCGGAAATGTTCTTCTAATGTTACCATTTTCTTAGGTTCCTATGTGATTTGTAGTTTGATTTAGTAATTTCACTTTTATGGCAAAGCATAGGTTATTTCCATTGATTTTTTTTCACAGGAAAAAAACAGAACATAAACTTAAGAGGCTAAAGAAAATGCTCACTGTAGAAGAAAATTCCAGATGGCACTTAGAGGTTTTTGCATCTGAACTCTTCATTATTCTCCCAGCACATTCATTGGGTGTATTCATTTAAGCACCATATTCATGAATTGTTTTGTTAAAGCAGTTCCAGTTTTGCCTTTGGTGCTCACTACCTAATCTAATGTAAAACCAATAAACCAGATTTGCACAAATATCTCATTGCACAAGACCTTACAGAAAGTATTTATTTAGATGCGAGACTGGAATTGTAATTCATGTTCAAACTACATAATGTAAACAAATACAGAATGATCAACAGGATTACCTTATGTAGGCCTCAGTGCTGCTGGGTCCTTTGAGCTGGTCCTCCATCAGGTATGTGTTGTGAGAGGAGGAGATGAAGTAATGGCTGAGAGGCTGGTTCATGTCATGGTAAACACTTTTATGAGCCTGGTTAAAGATCAGCCCCTCCGGCTGGTGCAAGTACATCAGGAAGCCATCCTGGGTCATTTGCTGTTTGGCTTTGGCTAGAAGAATTGAAAACACAGATAAGCCATTATGCATTGGACTTGCAAGTCAACTGACTAAAACCAAGTACATTTACTTAACTTAAAAGTTAGATTTAGTAAGATTCTAAAAGAATTCTCTATATTAACCATGGATACAATTATTTTAATATTATTTTATAATTAGTTTAATCAGTCTTCAGTCTCACATGATTCTTCAGAATAGGGCTGCACAATATTGGATTGCGATATTTTCTTTTGCTGCAATATACATTGCAATATGAATATCATACATACAATATCAAACGTAAAATAGCATGGTCATCATAATGATTAAAAATATCTTTATCTTTTAATCTTTAATAAACAAACTAATCATGTGATGTGACTATTGCAGACACACACACTGCGATATTGATCTTTAAACGATATATTTTTCAGCCCTACTTTAGAAATAAGTCTAACTTTGGGGTTTGTTGCTCAAACATGTTATTATTAGCAATGCTCAAACCATCATTGGGGAAAACACAACTAATTTTCAGAGTTCTTTTATTCATAGAAAGTTCAACAGAGAATTTATCCAAATAGAAAAATTTGCAACACCATACATTTTTTAAACATCCGCTTGTTAATTCGTAACGTATGGAATACTGTTCAAGCTTATCACGCATTAAAGTAAATTTTATATAAAATCATAATGTACAAGAAAATCTCTGGCCTTGCTGCATCACAGACACCAATATTTTAACAATTTATTAAAAAATAACCATGTGCTGTCCATCTGATATTAGACATGGTTATATATATAACGATCGTGATTTTAAAAAGTATTTGTAAAACTTTGTAAAAATTTATTATTAGTATTTGTTGAGTCTACACGTACAGTTTGATATATCGTTTGGACCCGAAAGCCACTTCATGTGATGTCAAGCTTAACAAGTCAATAACTTTTGATTTACTACAACCTTGTTGATTAATTTAAATAAATAAAATCTTAGTGACCCAAGCTTTTAAAAAAAATATCCTACTTAGCAGAGATAAAAAAAAATAAAAATAAAAAAAAACAACAACTTTAAAATAAAAATCAGGGTTCCTTTTCCACAGTGTTGCAACTTCCTATTCGACTCAATTCTATTCACTTTTATCTATACAAAGTATTGCTATTTTGCTTGATGCTGCTGGTATTTTCTTATCATACTATTTTAATTCCAATATATTATCAAGCTAGTTTGAAGCACGAGTAGTTAATGGACACGTGTTATTCCTTATAATTTACATAACAGCAAATTAATTGGAGAAATAGCAAATTTGATTTAATTGCAAAATAAGGTGAATTATAAACAAGGCAGCTGTTATGTTGAGCATTGAGCACACACAAAATGTATTTTGACAGGTACAGGGTTTCTTTGGGTTTCACAAAGAATAATTTAAGACTTAGGACACTTTTAAGACCATAAATAAATAAATGAAATGTTAGACTTGCACAGGGATTTTTTTTGTACAGGATTTTTTAAATATTTCAGTTGGAAAAGATTTTCACTTGCCCTATCAATTCTTTTTTATAATTGAATACATTTTAATAATATAATAAATATAGGCCAGGTCAGTTACCTCAGCAGTAAATGCGAGAACTTTTTAACAGATGTTACTGTAAGGAAAATAGTTAAACCATTACAGTAAACAAAGTTAAAAATGTAATTTTTAAGTGGTACTGAGATGGATTGTTGGTGATTGTATGGGTGTTGGCCAGATTGGGTAGCTATACATGAACAAAGCAAAATCAAGACCTGTTAAAAAGAATTTAAGACCTACAACACAGTATTTCTGTAGATTTAAGACTTTTCAAAGCCTAAATTTTAGTTTTGAGATTTAAAACAATTTAAGACTTTAAGACCACGTGGATACCCTGAGGTGACAAAAGGGAAAGGAATAAAACAGCAGTGAAAACATAGGCTAACCATAATAATAGGCAAAACAAGTGAAACAATTCAAATCCCTGATATGCCAATACTAGGACAAAAATATATACAATTCCCTGACTCTGGAATCAACCTATTAAAATTCCATAGTATTACAGAAATTTCATGACCCATGGGAACTAAAAAATTACCGTTTTCATCGAGTTCATATTTCTCAATGAGTTGAAGGGCATCATTTTGGGACACCTCTTCTCTCTGCTCAGTCAGCAGAAAGTTCAGCAGGTCATTTGCGCTCATGAGACCATCTGTCTTTGCATACTCCCCATAAATGACATCAATCTCCTCTCTTTTCGTCAGGATTTTGTAGAAATGCTCAATCTCGTTTCCCTCCAGGAATCCACCGTTCGATTTGTCGCATTCCTGACAAAGAGAGAAACAGTGACATATCTGGTCAAGTGATTTCTATTAAAAGTGTTAGTTTGCAAGTACTCTAACCTCGTGTCCTAACTACAAGCAACATGACAAGAGTCCAGTGACAAGCAAATTGGCTGTCTGCACCAAACATGATGCAACAGAAACATTTAAATACCAGCCACTGCACCTCCGACGAAAAGTCTTATAATCTAATTATAACACATTTAGTCTATATAACATTATTAAAAGTATATCGGCTCTAGGGCTGCCACAACAAATCGATTCAATTGATAAAAATTGATTACTAAAGAGTTGACAACGAATTTCATAATCGATTGTGTTGTGCGACGTAGGGATGTTTGATTATTAAAAAACTTTAGCTGAGCATGAAGCGAAGTGAACACACTTGCATGTTTTTTGGGAGTAACTGATGAATTTACATGCTAAATCCTGCACGTTCCACTTTTATGAATGAGGAATACGCGTTGTCACAAGTAAACACGGCGACACCCATCTCACGTTATAGATCACGATCAAGATCATTTTTACCGTCTTTTAAACAACAAAATAGACTCACACGTTTTTGTGAATTGAAATATCCGGTATTGATGACAGTACACAGTATACAGTATCTACACTGCAAAAAAGCTTTTCTTAATTAGTAATTTTGTCTTCTTTCCAGTACAAATATCAAAAAAATATTTTAATCAAGATTACTGGACAAGAAAATGAAATGAGAAAATAAAGAGATGCCTAAAACTTCTGTTTGAGATTATATCTCATTCATTAAGACTATTTTTCTTACCCCATTGGCAAATATTTTTGCTTGATTTAAGCAAACAATCATTTCATTTTGAGGTGTTTTTTTCCGAAAAAAACGAGACATAATTTCTTATCCTATTTCATGTGTCCTGTATATAGCTTGATTTAATTTTTTTTTTAGATATTTGGATTGAAAACAGGACAAAATCACCAAGTTAGTTTATTTATTTTATTATTATTATTATTATTATAACAGCTCAGGGATGTTCAAGGGGCACTTTCTAAAGATTGTAGTTCTATTTTTGAATAAAGTGTTGGTGTAAGGTCCACCCAGTTGGTCCAGTGAAGGTGTTCACTGGTGGATGAAGGTTCACTGCGTGTTCGGCCTTTCCAGTACACAATGTTGTTTCAGTTTAACTTTAACTCGTATCTTACTCCAATTTTCATATGAGGTGGTTCAAAATATTATCTTCCATTTTATCGGACTCCAATCATTTAGAGGATTATATCAATATATAATTTAGCCAAATGTTTGAACATTTTGTCTTTACTCGTAACTATTACATTTGTTCAGATGCTCAGAGGAATTGCCTCGGCCAGTGACGTCCCTCACGGTCACACTCTCATCAGTCTTGATTATTAAACAGGTAATTGACTAATACTTTTAGATGGCTGCTGCTATGAATGCTATTCATTCTAAACAGGGTTCTTACACTTTTTCCAACTTCAAATTCATTGCAAAAAAAGCTTTTCTTGCTCAGATTTTGTCTTGTTTCTAGTCTAAATATCTAAAATTTCTTATATCAAGAAGCATTTTTTAGACAAGCAAAACATATTGCCTTGTTTTGAGAAATAATATGCCAGTATAAAGTCAGTTTTTCCTTAAAACAAGCAAAATAACCTGCCAATGGGGTAAGCAAATAATCTTGTTTTTTCTTTTGACGTAAGATTATTTTGCTTACCCCATTGGCAGATTATTTTGCTTGTTTTAAGGAAAAACTGACTTAATATTGGCATAATATTTCTCAAAACAAGGCAATATGTTTTGCTTGTTTAGAAAATTCTTCTTGATTTAGGATTTTTAGATATTTGTACTAGAAACAAGACAAAAAATCTAAGTAAGAAAAGCATTTTTTGCAGTGTTCCAGCACTTTCAAGGTGCATTTGTATGCTTTTCCAGCACCTAACTACCACGGTTAATCATGTTTATATATGTTGTATGTACTTATTCACATTTAAATCCATTGTGCTATTTAAAAAAAAACACAATATGACATTTACACTTAAATTGTTGAATATTTTGGAGCTTAGATTTATTGGGACACTTCACCCAAAAATAATGAAAAATAAATTTAAAAAGTTCAGTTATTGGATGAAGTATGTTTTTAAGTTTGGTCTCTTTCTACCTAAAGTTGATATCTCAAGAAATGAGCTCACAGTCAGATTATGTTTGGGTGTAGAACCAAACTTTCATGACCAATCATTCATGATATTTCAAGTGCATTGCTTTTTTTTTTTTTTTTTTTTTTTTTTTTACAGTCATTGAATTGGCGTTTCAGATGCAAAGTTACTTTCTGGGTGAATGTTTCCTAAATAAGTATGAAGCTAATAATGCCAAAACAATCTGAATTTGAATAGTTTGAATTCTTAAAAAAAACATAACTGTATTATTTTACATACCCAAAATCTGCAGTCTTTGAATTCAGAACCAAAAAATCTAAAGTTTGAAAATGTCTATAAAAATCTGACTTAATTGTCTTAAATTTTAGACGTTCAATAATCGAGTTAAGAAATTCAAATTCGGTTTAACATTTTTAATAGCATATGATCAGTTTTATTAGCTTACAATTATTAGTAATTAAATTTAACACAATTTAAATTCAAATTGTTTTGGCATATTATTAGCTCCATAAATACATGCATGCGGTGAACATTTAGCAATGAAAACTGGTCGCACAACAACAATTTAAGCCCTCGCACATATGCTACCAAACACATTTAGAGGTCACAGATGAAATTGTGCGCATATGCAACCAAAACAGTCAATTTCGAGCCCAGCAAATTCAAATTCAAGCAGGTTCAAGCACTTTGTCCAAAATCCAAGCACTTTTCTAACCTTGAAAACACTATATTAAAAATCAAGCATTTTCCAGGATTTCCAGCACCCGTAAGAACCCTGTCTAAAGTATTTTGAGTAGTCTCCCCCTTAGACGTACACCCTTGTGTTAAAGGTAATCTTATTTCTAATAAGAGGGCACAGCCTTTATTATAAATATAACCGACTACTGTTCTCTATGATAATTTTGGTTTAGTCAAGCTCACGGTTTCCCCATGTACATTTAATTTAGAACAATACTTTCAAACAAGGGTCAGGCACCCTATATAGGTTAGTCATAAAACACCTTGTTGCAATAGACAGAAATAACTCCTTTTCCACCCAAGTACACCTGAATCAATATCAAGAGTCAGTCAGATCTCTAAAATACAGATAGTGTGCCCGATGTTTTATCTCAACTGGACTTTAGTCTGTCTACTGACCTGACGCATGACATGCAGAAACAAGGATACAGTCTAATCTACTAAAATGCATAATTACTGAGTACTGAGTTCAAACGTAATTTAATAGTCATGTAAATGTGTATTATGCCAATTATTCAGTGATTCATAAACAATCAACACAAGATATCAAATTCTCATAGATAAATCTAAGATCAAAAGATGCATACCTGACTTCAAAATATACATTGTATAGAGCATGAGAGCTCCACACTACGGGATGATCTGGTTACAGAATCACCCCGGACCTCTTGACACTTTCCCTTAAATAGTCAAACCAAGAATCTCCTTCAAAGACGGGTATGTGTGGAACAACAAAAAGCATTTGCATTTAGTGGCATGCAAGATCTGAAGAGTTACTGACTATAGGGAACAAATTGTAATTTGAATAGAAGCCCCCTTGGTAAAGGCAGTGGTTCAAAACACACCTGAAATCATATATCTATTGTTTTGATTATGTCTATTTGTGAGGAAATGAGACCATTGTACAAGTCGCACTGAGACATTTCAAATGATATGAAACAAGATATTTAAAGTCACTTGGATTGATATAGAACATTCATATTTTGAGAAGATCAATCTGTGTGAGTTGGATGAAGAGGAGGGTGAGTGAACCCAAGGGAGTGCAGGAGATGCTTTATGTAAATGAAGCAAAGGAGTAGAGTGAACTTTCCCGCATTCCCAACTGGTGGGGTGTGGAGCCAACCCATGCTTGTATTGTCAAAGACATCAAAGTATCTTAGGTATCTCAAATCTTACAGTTGGAGATGAATGCTTTTCTTGTTTGTTTTCAATCAGATTAATCAGAAAAATAATCGACAAATTAATCGATTATTAAAATAATCGTTAGTTGCAGCCCTAATAGGCTCAGTGACAGTTGATTTTCATTTTTTAACCGCTTGCTAGTTATTTAATTTTCAAGATCTGAGGTGAACTATTTGCTGTTACTTTCATTAGAATGGCAATACATGCCAGGTAAACGATGTTCAAACTCACAAATATCAGCAATTCACATAAAAAAGCACATAATCGGTACCTGAGGAGAAAATTATCATAGATGTTTATGGTGTTGTTTTGTCATGACGTTGCATTAATAGAAACTCTTTCTAAAATAGAAAATCTGCACATTGCTGTTGTAGATGGTTAGGAAAAAAACTTATTTAGTTAGGACACGGTGTGAAAACATTACAGATGATCAAATTCCCATATCACCTTAAAGAGCATTTCAGCGTAGTCTTCGTGCACTTCAACGTTGATGTCTTTCAGAAAGCTCTTGACCTCTTTCAGACTCATCTTGTTGTCCAGGTTTTTGTCTGCTTTCCGCAAGGAGCTGTAGATCCAGCTAAAACCCTGATGTAAGAACAACTAACAGAGACACTTGAGGAACAATGCTAGAATTTCACTTAATGAAAAGGATACTGCTCCGTCTTCTTCTGTGAACTGAGGTTGTTCAAGCTTGAGATGACTTTCTCCAAACCGCTGACCCATTTCTTGGCTTCTTCCTCAGTGCTGGCGATTAGGTCCAGGCTTTTCTGACGACCCTTAAACAAGATGGAGAACGCTCGACCCTCCAATGTCTCCTCTGTGTATTTCCTCAGACTGTCTGTTTGTCGACCTGTTCGGACTTCCTCAATGTCCTCAATAGAGACTGAGGGAGAAAGAGATGCATTAGCATACCACATGAAATGAGACCTGAAAAATGTCTTGTGTTGCAGTGGTATATTTGTGGGAAAAGCCTAAAATACACAGTTTGGGTCAAAATGATCCTTTTTATTTTATGTTAAAAATGATTAGAATATTATGAAAGATCATCTTCCATGACGGCATCTTGGAAGTTTCCTTCCATAAATAAATCAAAACTTATATTATTATATGTTTATTGCTAAGAACCTAATTTGATCATATTTAAAAGTCAGTTATTTTCAATATTTAGATTTGTTTCAAAGCCTCAGACCCCAGATTTTTAGATCGTTGTATTTCAGCTAAATGTTATCCTATCACTCGAAACCATACATCAATGGAGCGCATTTATTCAGCTTCCAGACTATGTATTTAAAATTATTATTACAAAATATAAACCTTATGACTATTTTTGTAGTCCAGGGTCATATGAAGTAATTATGCAACAACATTGGAGTCTGATCATCTATGCCAATGATCAAATATAGCTCAGCAGTGTTCAGACTGGAAATTAAAAATTGAGTATGTAATGTTGAAAATTGCTGGGTTGTCATAATGCAGTTCTGGATCAAATATTTAAAAATATATTTTGACATATTTGATTTATTTTGATCTGTATTTCCTAGATAATATTTTTAAATATGCTAGTGTTTTCTTGTTTTAATTTCCTAGTTTAAAGAAACAACTCCAAATTCTTACAGTACATACTGATAAACTCATCAAATGGACCCAATGAAGAATATATCCAAATGCTTAATTTTCTGCAAAAAAAAAAAAAAAAAACTAAAAAAAAAAACACTTACAGTGCACATTTGCAAAAGAGCCTGATGTTAGATAAAAAATCATCATGTGGATGAGCGCCAATTATGCATGATGAAAAAGCGTTGTAAGCTCAATTTTGTATTTTTGCATAATTTGAGCAAAAGCACAAATGTTTAAACAGCCTCAGGTTAATGCTTTACAGCGCTGGTCACAATGTGACTATATAACTATGAAGTGCTGTAATAAAATACACATTTCATTTGATCATTTATTTTTTTCAGCTTAGTCTCTATTTCAGAGGTTGCCACAGCAGAATAAACTTCCAGTATGCGTTTTACACAGCGGATGCCCTTCCAGCTGCAACCCAGGACTGGGAAACACCCATACAGTAGGGGTAGGCGATATGACCTAAAATTAATATCACTGTATTTTTCATCTTTTGAATGGTGACGGTATAATAAGCTTTTTTTTTTGGTACATTTTGGGAAGAGGTGGCCTGTCCTGTCCCTTTATTATGCGAATAAAGTTAATATTTTTTAAATAAGTAAATGGTTTAGGTATCCTTATCAAAAAGAGACATGGGAGGGTATTATGCATTCTGAACATATTTATTTAGCAAAAAAAACCTAAAGATCTTACTTAACAGTGTACAACAAAACAAAAATTAGCAGTGTAATAACACGATAACACTGTAATAATGTGTACTTTTCACAAAAACTCTCTCTTCATCTGAACTCTGATGAAACTAGACATTCAAGTTATTGGCCAGGAACACCAGCCTGTCAACATTTTCTGGCTTCAGTGATGCCCTGGAACTTGTTACAATATTGCCCCCTGTGCTGAATGCTCGCTCGGAGATTAAGCTTGTGGCTTGGATGCATAGGTATTTTTTTGCCAGACGGCTAATGCGCGGGAAGTGATAACATTGGAGAGGCCACCACTCCAGTGGATCAGAGTCCCTGTCAGCCGTTACCATCAGCAGGTAGCCATCTAGCTCCATGTCAATGCCCTGCTGCAGTTTCCTCTACAGCAGCCTCGGTCTCTCCATCTGGTTCTGACACTCCACTCATCTCTTTTCAGATAGTAGGCTACAGGCCCGACATTTCTCCATGATGTTTCACTAGTCGTTTAAAAGCAGATCCCCTTTTACCTACCATCAGCAAAGCTGGTACGAATATGTTTTACTTTTTTATTTACAACAAGATACATAGTAACAGGGAACAGGGAAATTAACTTTTTTACTTGCTAGCACCAGTGCTCCCAACTTCAAATATTTAAGAGTACCAAAAAGAATTTAGGGGCACCAGAAAAAAATTAGGAGCACCCACCAAAAATGAATGAGCACCACTGCAAATTGTATTTTAAGGGATTTATTGTATTTGAGAACGACATCATCAATTAGGACTAACAACAAGCAGAAACAAGTATCTAACTAATGCTGAGCTGACTTTGATATTTGTGTGCAATAATTCCAAAATGAATGTCTAATAATCATAGTATATTAATGATGATGAAAATGACAATAATAGTAACGATGAATTACATTTCTCATTATCATGCTGCCTTGAATGTGCTTGAATGCGAGTTATCTGCTATGAAAGGTCTGTTACTTTATAAAAAAAAATATTTTTATGGCTTGCATCAAGCAAAAATGAAGCATTGCAGTAAGAAAAATTTATTTTTATTTTTTATTTTTATTTAAATTTAAAATTTTATTTATTCCGCTGTGGCGACCCCAGATTAATAACGGGACTAAGCCGAAAAGAAAATGAATGAGTTCTTTTTGTTGTATGTAATAACATTATTGTATGTACTTTCATTTTTGGTTTATTTTGTTCTTCTGTGGGGGGTATGAGTGTGAAATACAGGAGTGTTGGCAAGTATGAAAATTAAATAATGAATTTAAATTTAAGGAATATGTTTTTCGTGATTGCTCTTTGTAATTGGCTTCTTTTTTTCCATGTTCAACCTAAACAATTATTTAATAAAAATAAATCAATTTAAGATTTCAGTACTTTCAAACAGAGATTTCAATTATTAAACAAAAGTAAAAACTAACTCTGATTAAAATGTAAAGTTGTAAAAATGTAAATGGACAGCAGGAAAAAATAGAAAAATATAAGTTAAGCATTGTTTGGGAAGTCCCTAAAGATTAATAATAGTGTTATACACATCCAAAAGATTTTTAAAGCCAGGTGCTTGATCAAGCCAGACACAATGGAAAAAGTAAGAAAGTCAGCACACTGCCACTTTAGTGCTCAAAAACTGATTAATTATTACAGGGTTTCAACCTCCATGGTCTTTGTCAGGTCCCGATATACATATTGAAATCATATACAGTTGAAATTAGAATTATTAAACCCCCGTTGATTTTTTTTTCTTTTTTTAATATTTCCTAAATGTTGTTTAACAGAGCAAGGATTTTTCACAATATGTCTGATAATATTTTTTTCTTCTGGAGAAAGTCTTATTTGTTTTATTTTGGCTAGAATAAAAGCAGTTTAAAAAATAAAAATAAAAAAAAACATTAAGGTCAATATTATTAGCCTCTTAAGCTATACATTTTTTCGACAGTCTACATAAACCATCATTATACAACAACTTGCCTAATTACCCTAACCTGCCTAGTTAACCTAATTAAGCCTTTAAATGCCACTTTAAGCTGTATAGAAGTGTCTTGAAAAATATCTAGTCAAATATTATGTGCTGTTATGGCAAAGATAAAATAAATCAGTTTTAAGAAATTAGTTAATAATAATAATATCGTGTTGAGAAATGTGTTGAAAAAAATCTGTCAAACAGAAATTGAGGGAAAAAATAAATAAGGGGGCTAATAAGTCAGTGGGTTTAATATTTCTGACTTCAACTATCAACGATAATGTAAATCGGAACAAAATGCAATTAATATAAGGAACAATCCCCCCCCCCCCCCTGAAAGCTTCACAACTAGTTGTTCAACAAATCACTGGCAATCTAAACTACTGCAAATACGTCAAAACTGTTGATTCAACCACACCCAATAACACTGGCCTCAATCTATTTGATTACTACAAAATCAACCAGCTTTCATTTTGGTCAAACAAACTTTAAAACTAAACAATACAAAATAATTGCACCAACACATTTCCCTCATAATGTTTACACGAAATATTCTTTGTCATCTAAAACAGTGGATTTGAGTAGGGAAGTGCTAGCATAACTTCTGCGAGGAACATCAACAGTCATCCTGACAAACAAACCAACTACAATGTAGGTCAGCGCAGGACAAGAGCACATGCAAAAAAGGGGTTGGCTCTGACACACCCCTGAACACATCCTTTTTTGGGACTTACATGTCTGTTTGGTCTTTAGTGTCTTTTTGGATTCGTGCCACATGGTCTTGCAGTCCTCCTGCAGCTTGAAGTAGCGCGTCTTTTTCCACGACTCAGAACGCACTTTCAGAAGGTCTCCGCCGTTCATCAGGAACTGCAGGTCACGGTCGCCCTCCAAAACTGCAGGGAGGATAAAGATATGTAACTGATTATGAGTATTCAATCATTTCCTTCACTGAGATTTTGTGGGTCATTTCCCACATCACAACATCCTTTATTTTTGCATAAAGGCAGAATAAACAAAAGGATTGTATGTGGTCCAATTGAAGAAGGAACCCACCCTCTCGTGGGTCCAGCTGCGGAGGAAGAAAACGTGGCTTAAACTTTTATGTAAGACACAAAAGACTGGAACGCACACTGCCGACACTTGACACCAACAAAGACCAGATATTAGGTCAATCTGCTAAAGCACAAATGCAGCGTTTATAAAAGGTGTGGTGTCTGTTTGAGAGTAATTACACTCAAATGTGAATCTGGGACATACTTTCATTGACAACCAAATATACATATTATCCATCCAAATTTAAGTTGAATTCTTCAGAAAAGTTGTGCTTTTGGTCAGTGATATTATCTTTTTTTATTTGATCTTTTTTTATTATTAAAATGACTTAAAATAAAACAGATATTATGTTAAACATTGAAGAAGAAAGGCTTTCATAAGACCTCACAAACTGTGTGAAATAAAATTAAGTAATAAAATGACTAAAATTAATTAAAAGGTAAAAACGCATGTTTTTTAACTTGTATTTTTAAACAAAAGAGACGACGCAATAACAAATGAACTCAAATAAACTAAAATGAAACCTGAAAATATAAATGAATGTTGAAAAAATTTTTTAGATAATAATAGTAATAACAATATAAAAAAAAAGCATCAACCAAAACTAGTTATTAAGTCTAACACCAAAGGAAGTTCATTATTCATTTATAATGGTGTAATGTGCATTTGTGAGTGATTAACACAGCCATGAATCAATAGGTGAGATGTGCTCTTGCACTGTTTATGATCATATCTGCGACACATATATATATATATATATATATATATATATATATATATATATATATATACACACATACATACATACACACACACACACACACACGCACTTTTTTTAGGAAAATTATTCTGTTCATCAACATTTATTAAATGCTAAATTATTTTTAATAAATGATAATTAATAAAAATGTTAAAAAACTGTTTTCTTATTGTATGTAGATTCAAATGAAATTATTACTCAAGTCATTATTGATTTACTTAAGTAATATTAATAAGTAATAAGTAATAATTGATAATACGATTACCATTAATAATAATAGTGTTAATAACTGGAATTAAAGATTTCTGAAGGATCATGTGACTCTAAAGACTGCAGTAATAAAGCTAAAAATTCATAATTAAAATCACTGGAAAAGTTACATTAAAATTAAATTATAAACTACTTTTGAACAGTTATTTTATAGTGCAAATAAAATATTTCACAATTTTACAATTTCTACTGTATTTTTGATTAAATAAATGCAGCCTTGGTGAACAGGATAACAAGCTTATTTTAAATCATGGGGTACTGAACCCAAACTTATATATATATATATATATATATATATATATATATATATATATATATATATATATATATATATATATATATATAGGCAATTATTCAACTATGAGCACCTTTAGGTCCTTTAATCATACATCCAATATTTTTATAATTTTGTTCAAATTCCTCTTTCTTTGTTAAACTAATAATAAAACTTACTTTAAAAATGTACTACCTTTCTATTATATTTTTTAAATCTCATTCAACCTCCTTTTTAGGTGTCAAAATCACTGTTTTTGCCTTGTCGCACACCCAGAGTTTTAAACTTGAACAATGAAATTAACATTTTAAAATATTATTTATCTGGTAACTATTAATGTATCTTAATTAAGCACTAGTGAAATAGGTTAAACGTTTTATTATTAATGTGAGACTATTATCAATATAAATTTTTATACAAATCATAGCTGTCGCACAGTATAAGTGTAATTTCCACCACAACACTGTAATGTTGCTTTAAAAAGTTTGTGTGAAAGATTGTTTATGTGGTTTCTATAAAAATAGATAGTAACAGAGCACATGTTCAAGATGGAGGAAATTTAGATTTTTATTAACAGCACATGAAGAAAAAAAATCAAGGTAAATATTGCTTGATAAGAAAATATACTACATTATTTCTAATCATGTTGTACCTTCAAAGGTGTTTTTAAAAACCAAACAAAATTAAGGTAAATAAGAGTTTTTTGTATACATGAAATGCTAGTATCAATTTAAAGCTAATCGGTAAATATATAAATATATAAAGCATAGGCCTGCTGCCTTGTGCCAACGCACGCCTCACACCAGTGCCGATATACAGCCATATCGCACTGCTACTCGTGTGATATTGCTCATATATATATATATATATATATATATATATATATATATATATATATATATATATATATATATATATATATATAGTAGAAAAAAATATAGCTTTACCGATACACACACACACACACACACACACACACACACACACACACACACAATAAAAAATTAGAGAAAAAAGATTTAATAAAATAGGTAATAAAACAATAAAAACTATTTTTTTTCTATTTTTTTCAAACAGAGAGAAGTTAGTAATAAACTTACTAAAAGGAAAACTGACAATATATAATTTCAAGTTAAATTATTAATAAAATAAACACATAAAAATCATCAGCAACCTGGACCAGATAAAGCCAAAAGCCAATGCATCCCCATGGATAAAGGTGTAGTGTGCATTTGTGTAGGCGTGACGTGCTCCTGCTCTATTTATCACATCTGATAGCTACTACGTTCACTACATTCTAGGAAGGCATATCATTATGCAATAGTTTCCCTATACATTAATGAACTGCTCCTATCCCAAAATGACCAACAAAATATCTCTGTAAAAACAAGAACGAAAGTTGAAGGTTTCATATTACACCTTATTGTTACGTCCATCGTCCTACCTAGTAGTTTCATGTTGTCGCGCGCTATTGTTTTGATGTGCGCTCGGTATAAGGACTCCTGAGACTTGGTCCGCGTCGGTTGTCTTCGTATACACTGCATGTTGTCAAATTTACAAATAAAAAACTAAACTTCTTTTAGGTAAAAAGAGCCACAAACATATCCTGACGACTGTGCGTGTTGTGTTGCTGGTTCACTTTTTCTCTCAGAGGACTGTGTTTGGGGCGTGTTCTAACACAAAGTTCATCCCTAGAATAATAAGACGGTGTACTAGTGACCTTCCGTCTAATGCCAGTCAGTAGATTGTATTTGCTTGGCGAATTTATTTATTCAACACTTTGGGGTTATGTATTCAAAGGACGCTGTCATTAAAAGGTTTACTCATTATCCGTGAGACAACAATGAAAAGCGCGAATACACCAACAGCTGCTGCTGAAATACCTGTTGGGCTTTTGCGAGTTTTCCCCGTAGTTTTTTTTCCTAAACAGAGGCAATCGCGCTATCTAGTGGCTGAATGTCAACCCACAGGCAAATTAACGTTTGCACTGCCACACTAAAACCTAATCCAATAAACACAGGTGGGTGTATGTTACCCTAGACATGCTGGAAGAGTAAATGCAATTAAATAAATACAGACATGTCCAAAAAAATATCTCTCCCCAAGTTCTTCATTATTCTTTTATTAACCCTTTAACTGTCTCACTAACAAAAAAAAAATTGATTGGACTCTTAATATTGCTAGTTAACACACTCAATGCCTTTTTTCAACACATCCCATAATTGCGAAAATATCAACCTCTACCAAATGGTTGAGATTTTGGTGTATGGTAAAAGTACTGCAATGAATACATGTACTATGAAAATGAAAAATATGAGGACCAATTTATTTAAAACAAATCTAAATAAAACATTTTTGAATGGTAAATAATAAACTACTAAAATTATTTTTTGAAGTATGCCATCAAATATATCAGATTCTCATTTAACATGATTTTGGTTTTATTTTAAATAAATAATAATATTAATAAGAAGAAAACAAGTGTCGAAGCGCAACAAGGATCTGACTGATTTTTTTTGTAAACCAACAATAGTTGGACATTAACAGTCATTATTTAAAACAGTCAAAATATGGTCAACCATTTGGTAGAGCAGACAGTTAAAGGGTTAAGATGGGAGTAGTACTAACAGTCTTTGAATTTTTAGAGAAAAGTTACTCATGTCATTTAGTAAAATAAACCATAACAAAACTTGCAATAAGATGTCATGGTGACCAAAGACCACAAAACAAGTGTTATTGTGCAACTTGCATGGGTATATTGACATGGGTCAAAAATTATAGATTTTTATTTCATGCCAAAAATCCTTAAAACAATAAATAAACATGATGTTTCATTCTGATATTTTGTAAATATCCAACTGCAAACTTTCTTTTATTAATAGTATGCAATGCATTGCTAAGCACTTAGATGCTTTAGACATAAAATGTCATTTGTGAAGATGAATAAACAAGATTATTGAAGGACACACAAAAAAAGAGAGCGCTAATCAAATACTTCAATTTAAGTTTATTTGTATAGCACTTTTCACAATAATTATTGTTTAAAAGACAAAAGGTGCACGCTATTGCATCACAATTAAGTCAGAAAAGTTAAGGTTATTAGTTACCATAATTTTATTAGTTACTAACTTTAACAAATTAAATAAGTTTAAGTTTCCGAGACTTATTTTGTAAATAAATCAAATTCAAAGCTCTGATGTTTGCCTACAAAGCGACTTCTGGCTTTGCTCCTTCTTATCTGCTCTTACTTCTGCAGATCTATGTGCCCTCCAGAAACTTGCGTTCTGTGAATGAACGTCACCTCATGGTTCCATCCCAAAGAGGGAAGAAATCACTTTCCCGAACGCTCACGTTCAATCTGCCCAGTTGGTGGAATGAACTCCCTAACTGCATCAGAACGGCAGAGTCAGTCGCGGTTTTCAAGAAACGACTAAAAACTATTTAGTCTCCACTTCACTTCTTAATCTGCAATTGCCTCTCTGGATATACCACTAACTGTACTCAGAAAAATAAATAAATAAAAAATAAAAATTTACTAATACATTCCTTCTTAGACTTTACAGAACTGAAACTTGCCTATAGAACTTATTCACTGTCGCTCTTATAGTTGTGTAAATTGCTTCCTTGTCCTCATTTGTAAGTCGCTTTGGATAAAAGCATCTGCTAAATGACAATGTAAATGTAAATATACAACTGTAAACATATAAAAACAATTTTTATTAGTTATATGCATTGCTAAGCACTTTAGATTTTATATATAATTTTTCTTAATATTTAGATTTTTTTTTAACTCTCAGACTCCAGATACTCAAAGAGTATAAAATGACACTTATGACTGATGGTCCAGGGTCTCACATTACATATATTTGAATTAACGGTAGACCTATGTGAAGAGCAGAGTATTCAGTGGTGCTTCTGTTAATATTATTATTGTTTACATATGTGTAAATGTGTTATTTAAATTTCTAGCGGTCTAGCCCAGTGATATTATTGTTCAGAAAATTAGTAACTCAATTATGTTGCTACCACAGCAGAATGAACCGTAATCAATACAAACATTACAAATAAAGGTTAACAATTAAATTAGAAAGACTTAGAATGGGAGCAATAATAGTCTCAGAATAGAGTTCTTAATTGCAAAAATAAATAAATAAATAAATAAAACATTGCTCATGTTATTTGGTGTATTAAAACTAAAACTGCATTTCTGCATTAATTCTAATTAAGACCGGAATATTCAGTGGTGCTTCTGTTAAAATAAATATTGATAATATCATTTTAATCACTGGGCTAGGCCTCTGATATGTCAGAAAAGCAAATAAATTAGATTAAAGATCAATATTAACTTATAAAAGGAGAACGACTTAAACTCTTGGCAACTACACTGTAAAACCCAGTAAGTTAAGGTAACTCAAACCATTTGAGGAAACCGATTGAAACAAACCATTTAAGTTCAAAAACTGATCTTACACTCTAAAAAACGCTGGGTTGGTTTTTTAACCCAAATGCTGGGTTGAGACTGCTGGGTAACAAAATTGGGTTGATTCAACCCAATTTGGGTTGAAAATCGATCTTTATCTATAACCCAGCAGTGCTGGGTTGGGAACGCGGACGTGAAAGAGAGCACGCACGTCACGTCAACATGCAGGGACATCAACGTGAGAAACCGCCATTTTCTTTGCGCTGTCTTTGAGGGGAAGCGAGTGAAATTCTGTGTGAGACGTAAGTTATTTAGTGTGTATTTAACAATTTTCATAAGAAATAACACACTTAGTTTACTTAGTATAATATACACGCGCTTTTTTTTCTGTTTCTCCGCCTGATGGCCGACTTGTTGCTCCGCCTCACGCTGACCTGTGCTCGCCTTATGGCTGAACTGTTGCTCCGAGTCCGCCTGACGAGCCACCTGTTTCTCCGGATCTGTTTCTCCGCCTAACGGCGACCTGTTTCTCCGGACCTGTTTCTCCGGACCTGTTTCTCCGGACCTGTTTCTCCGGACCTGTTTCTCCGCCTAACGCCCGAGCTGTTGCTCCGCCTAACACCTGACCTGTGCTCGCCTCACGCCCAGCCTGTTGATCGGTGGACGGTTAAGCGCGCATGGCATCGGAAGGAGCTCGAAAAGTATAAGGTAACTAATGAAACTAACGTGAAGCATGTTTGATGACCACTTTATAAACACAACACCTAGGATAATTTAGGAGCTTTTTATTGTAATAAAATGCCTTTTGAATGACACAGATTTTTATGTTGGCTAGGTGATGACAGTAAGTAACGTTACTGTGATTTGTGATCTTTCTGGGGTGTTAACTGTAAAGCAGTAAGTAGTATTTTTACTCTTGTATTTCTTAAGTTTGTTCATGGATTTTTGTGACAATACTTTGATGCATAAGTGTTGAATTCAGCTTCTAACAATGTTTTTTTTTTATCAAAATATATACAATAATTGTCCTGCTCTGCATGTACATTTTGTTTAGCTGTACATTGAATAGCAAATGTTATTAATTTACTATGAGCATTTTACATTCTAGACGTGATTTGAGCTATCTTTAATTAATCCTGTATGTAAGGGTCGTTTCATGCTAACGGAAATGTCTGAGCTAAGGCTAATTCCAACCTAATCATCTTCGACTGCAAAAAGAAAAAGTTTGACCACCGTTTTATGTGACACCCTGGATAATTATTATCATTTAGGAGTATTTTTGTGATATAGTGACTTTTGGCTAACATGATCTTTTTTTACTTAATTTTGCTTAAACGCTTTTATCTGTTATTCTTTTTCAGATGGATAATTGCGTGAAAATCAAACTAAAAGAATGCAATCTTGAGGAGTTAATCCCCACATTTGAAGGTATGTAATAATATTTTACTTGGTTCATTGTAATCATTAGGGCTGCCCTTGTCTAAACATTTGTCTGGTTGACTTGTGATGTTCATTTGAAGCATTAGTTGAATAATTACAGATTTATTAATAAACCATTTATTCATTAATTCATTTTCTTTTTGACTCAGTCCCTTTATTAATCTGGGGTCGCCACAGCGGAATGAACCGCCAACTTATCCAGCATATTTTTTACACAGCGGATTCATGCAGCATACATTGACTTTGCCAGTGTGGACTTTTTTTCTGCAACTAGTGGGTAGCACATTCGCCTCATAGCAACAAGGTCACTTGATCGATCCTTGGCTGGGTCAATAGGCCTTTCTGTGTGGAGTTTGCATGTTCTCCCCGTGTTCGCGTGGGTTTCCTCCAGGTGCCCCGGTTTCCAAAGACGTGGTAAAGGTGAATTAAGTAGACTAAATTGTCAATGATGTATGTGTGTGAATGAGTATTCGTTTCCCAGTGATGGGTTGCAGCTGAAAGGGCATTCGCTGCATAAAACTTATGCTGGATATGTTGGTGGTTCATTCCATTGTGGTTACCCCAGATTAATAAAGCGACAGCTAAAAAGAAAATGAATGAATGAATAATACATTTTTAGTTGACTAATGGTTATTCAATTATTAGGGGGCAGCCCTAGTAATCATTAGCCACTTCAACACTTTAAACTGAGAGATTGAACTCTAATGCCAATTTGTTTTTGTCTGGTTATTTTTTAAAATCTGCTGTTCATGCAACCAGTGACATTCTCTTGTTTTATTTTTAGCACAGGAGC